TCAAATATGTTAAATAGTTTTTATGATAGTGCTGTTTCTTTGTGACTTTTTACCAGTTGTTGTTCTTGCAGACTTAAATAAAAATCACTAACAAGGTCTTAAGTTTTGTGCAATTAGAAAGAAAAGTTTAACTAAATGAATAAATGAAAATGACATGTTTGTGCAGAAATACAGAAGAAAGAGTCTTTGTGAGGTGTACAATATCAAATCTGTCTGCTTGTAAAAAATATTTGGCACTCCTGATGTAGAGCGTTTCATTTTTTGGCAGCTAATTGTCTAAGTAGTTACGTAACCATCTACACCGGACACCAAAAGAGGCCAAGCGTGTCCAGCAGCTGAAATGCTGCAACTTTGAGCACACTGAAAGCAATATCATTGGATTTTATGCTAGGATTTGACTTAATGTGGAAAACAGTAAAAAAAACTTTATGGGCATTCAAAAGGGCCAAAGAAGCAGCAACAACACTGCAGTCAGCGAAAAAAGCAAATTGCAGATCATTGATGTCATTGTGAATATCCACAGAAACTCTTGGATGATTGTAAAACTGTGTGTGTGTGTGTGTGTGTGTCTACCGCTGTTGAGGAAACTAATGGGAAACACTAATAAAAGAGGGACACTCTCACAATAACAACACATAAAAGGGTTTCAAATCCTGCTAACACGGAACAGATGATCATTAGCAACAAAGCACAATAAACTCAGTGAAATGTTTGTCATTAAATGTTCTGATATGAAATGAGCTGTAGATACAAAGCAGATGAAGATGAACAACATGCACAAGTATGTATAACACATCACATTGGACTGGACTGTGCTGGGTGAGTATTAGAAAGTACACTCGAGTATTCACCATTACTTTTGATTCCAATACTTGGTGATTCTCTATTCAGTACTTTTTGGTACAGTTTTATTTCTCATTAGTATGCATATCTGTCATCATCAGGGGCGGTGTCCTAGTGGCAAGGGGCTAGGACGATTGGAGGGGTGCATGTTAAATACAGCTGTTGTTTTGTTGTATAAGCACCAAAAGACCCTTTACAATGACCAAAAAAGCTAATTCTTCTTCTTCTGTACTTTCCTAGTCAAATACTGTCATTGACATGAGGAAAAAACATACAATTTTTTACAACTGAGGCAGACTGAGGCTGCTAATTCACTTCATGTTCTCCATTCTAAATGTATTTATAGGCTACACTCTCCCACAGTGGTATGATGTCATAATCCTTACATGGTGGTAATGCAGCTTTAATGTCCCGGTAAATAATGAAATCCAATGTTTAGAAGGTATGGGTGCAGCTATAAACGGGGCCAGCAACAAATTCTTGGCTGGACTTATAAAGGCTTTACTCAAGTTTTCCAACAATCTTGACTCTTGCCTGTCACCGAATATGTAACTGGAAACTGGGAAAGTGGCCCAGACTTTGTCTGTAAGTTGAACTCCACTGGGGAAAGATAAGACAATTCCACATAAATCACATTTTCACCAAGTGCTGCTTTAACTCCCTCAGTAAAACTCTGGACATCTAATCATTCCCATTACACAAGCAGCAAAGGATAGATTCATTTTAAAGTAAAACTATAGTGGAGTAAACATAGTCCTGGTGTCTACAAATATATAATATTTTCAGATTAACGATGTGTAAAAAGTGATCCTACATAATTTGTTTATCTGGGTAAAGTTGTTATATGTATTTAAAAATGGATAAATACATACATTCCAAGCCCTTTTTACTCAAAATGTTTTTAAAATATTTATATAATAATATTATTATATTTATCAGTACTACAGTACAACCACCCATATATTAAGGTTGGCTTCTTTCACCCTCCTTGATCCATTTTTGACAACTTTAGGCTCCTGTGACTGTCATGGGATTCCAACTGACCAACTCCAACACCCGGCCAAAAGGCAGCAAATATTATGTACTCCAAAATCATTTATGATTTTTTATATGTACTTTAAGGTGTATTACTAGAGACCTTTTCAGTTTCTTAGCCTTGTGTGTTTTTTTTCTGTAGTTGGACTGCAGCTATGGAGAGCACCACCCCTAAAAAACCCTAACAATAACCTACAGGAGACTGTACTCTTTTGGGCATGATATAATGTATAGTTGCTGATTCACTGCAGTCTGAGCAGCAGCAGCAGCAGCAGCAACAACAGCAGCAACACCAGCACCAGCAGCAGCTCTGCTGGTTTATGAACAATGAGGACAGAGTCCAGACTACAGCAGAGCAGTGAACGTACACCTGTACACTGTGTGCTGCTCCTTCTTCCTGTCTTCTACGCCTGTCGCCTCGTTACGTGTGTCGTTCCTACGAAACTGGGAAAGTAGCCCAGACTGTCTGTGGGCTGAACTGAACTCCACCTGGGACAGACGAGACTGCGACAATTCTACAGTCACGAATAAGGTAAAAGAAAGAGAAAAATGCCGAGAATCTCTATATTAATGGGTCTGTGTTGTTTCTGGGCTCGTCCCCCCCCAGTCAGACACAGTCGTGTCTTTGTTTTAGCAAAGCCGCGGTTTCACTGCTTCCGGAAAAAACACCGTCCGCGCAGGTAAGACGAGTTTCATTCCGGACTTTAGCACATTACAGAAACTACGGTAGAAAATGTAATATCAGTGTGTTTTCTAGCCCAACAAGAGGGGTAACTGGGTTGGCCGAATGTGGTAAATGTGTGTAGGTTTTAACAGCAGGTCATAATGGTAATGTGACGTTACCTGCTGTGTTCCAACCACAGCACCGTCCATGTTACACTCTCACCAGGAGCCAAAGAAATGTGTGTTAAAGAGCAGCAGTGGCCATGACTGACCTGTGGGGACAGGGACTTATTTATGGTCCCCTAAGTGACAGCACACCACAGGTGCAACATATTTAACGTTTTATTTCAGTAAAACAACACCGAGAGCAAACAAATACGCTATTACTAGATTACTTATTGGGAAATAGTCAAAACTATAGGCCTTCTTTATATCACAATTTTCACAATCGACTGCTCAGGTCTGGACAATATTTAGTAGCAGAAATATATCGTCATATACATTTAAAATCAGCAGAACAAAATTTAAAAGCAAAAACAAACAACAATAACCAAAATTATACATACTACAGAAATGCATTACCAGAAGTTACATTCTATTTAAAATCGTCATCTTGACATGGATATCAAATGTTACCATATTGTCTACTAAGTACTTGTGTAATCATCATCAAGAGCATAATAACAATTGAATAACAGTATACTTTACAGAAAGAATATGTGTGTAAACAAATTTGCATTTGCATAGAGAGAGTGAGGCAGGTTGAAAGATAAAGCTGTTATGAGTGAAGATAAAAAAGGTTGATGAGTTCAAGTGCCTTGGGTCAACCGTACAAAGAATATGACATAAGAGAATTAAAGCCTCTCAGGCAGGCTGAAAGGGGAAGGTTTATGAGACAGTACCTACCTTGATATATAGTTTATATACTGTGATATTGTCTTAAATACAGGAGGCTGAGCTGATGGTGGCAGAGAGAAAAAGATTTTCATAAGGAGCACCCAGGATAGCCCAGATTAGAAATGGGCAGATCGGGGGGACAGTTAATATTGAGCCGTTTTGAAATAAACTTAAAGAGGTGAGGATGAGATGGTTTGGACGTGCTGGGGAGAGATTGTGGATATATGGCAAACAAAAAAAATAGAAATAGATATCAAAGGATGGGGTGAGATGGAGTAACATGATATGCATTGGTGACTTCTAAAGAAAGCAGCTGAAAGTAAAAACAATGAACAAGAAGTATGAGATCCAGCTCTTCATGCTGAATACACTGTTGACATGTTGAGTCAAAGTGTATGGAGGCCAGTCTGCTGTGCTTAACAATGGTAGGCTCAAAAGTCTCGTGAGTGTAGGCTTATCCTCCTCCTTATGTGACTTTTTGCTTGTACCACGGCACATGTTGTTGTCACACTGAAACAGGTTTGTTGATAATGAATACCTGAAGGGAGTTACTGTGGGAAATTGTGGGGCAAACTATCATTCCATTTTCTGTACGGGCAATGCAATGCAAATAACGGTTATTGTGTTAGAAGCATGAGACCTCTGCAGGTTGTTGATAAACCTGTTACATAATGTGCCAACATTTCTCAGAACAGATGACAAATGAAGTTAAATTTTAACTTGAGCTTTAAACAATTATTTAACAAAGGAAGACTTTTGAATGGAATCTTTTAGATTGAGCTTCTCAATTAGTTCTATCTTAAACATTTAGTCACTGATGAGTAACCTGTTCACTAGACACTCACCAGACACTACCTCTGAGCAAAGGTAGACACAACACACATCCTGCCTCATGCACTGTAGAAATTGTTAGTGTACCCTGGCTACACCTGATTTGACTGAAGGTGGGGCAACACATACGAATCAGTCGTATCCACCACCTAAGCCAGTGATTTGGCTGTGCTGTCATGGAACGCCACCATGGTAATCCTTTCAAAGACTACAGCGCCACAGTTATATATCTACTTAGCTTAGACTATCACATGATTACAAGGCTTTGGATGAAGGTTCTGTCATTATGGCTAACTTGCTTAACAAAAACATGATACTCATAGAAAGCAGTTTATATTTTTTCACAGAACTGTAAATAATGACATTGACATTTTTTTTTACTTAAATCCTAATGGCATGACATAGTGAAACCAGACTTGTAGTAATTTATTATTAAGCTGAGACTCAGTATTTGTCTGCAAACTGCCCGACTAAATATAACCTTAAGACCAGAGTCCAAAGAACAGGAAACAGGAATTATGTAGCTTCTGCTAGTGGTTGAAAGTAACTTTTTCATGGGAATTAAAACACCCAAAAACATTTTAAACACTAAACAATTAAAAAACAAAAACATTTTAAACACTAAACAATTAAACAATAAACATTTTCATTATTTCAATATTTTCAAAACTGCTAAACATAATTTTATATATATCAAGCAAACACTAGCAGATACAATATTTTCAAAACTGCTAAAGATAATTTTATATATATCAAGCAAACACTCGATTAAAATATGCAGAAGAATTTTACTGACACAAAGGAAATTCCAAGAAAGAACAAGGCTGTTATTAATTCCCTGCTGTTCCATTGATGAACATACAGCTACCCACGCCTATTAGTTACATAACATGAAGTATTAATAAATAACTCAAAAGTCAAACACCTTTAGCACTGTGCACCTTTCAACCTCAGTGTGTTACATATACTATCAGAGGGCAGATAGTACACTACTAAAAAAACAAAGGAGTGGGCGTTTGTTGTGAGTGAAAGTGTGTTTGTGTAAATGATAACACAATCAATAATGACCGTTGTAGTAAAGCAGCATTTTGAATTTATTGTTTTGAAGACGCATAAATTCTTCCACGGAAATTCCTGGTGTTTAAGTGCTGCAGATATCAAAGAGTTGAAGCTGAAGCACTGCTGTTTCCATTGTTTTAAACAGGAAGGAGATGAGTTTTAAGTGTGTGAATTTACATTGTATTTGCTCCTAAAGTGGATGTGGGATACCCGTTTATAGGCAGATGGTTTTGACCTGTAAAAACACTGTTTTCATTTGAAAGTAAAATAGTGAGATTGAGCCAAAATAATTGGAGCACAGCCTGGTTAACACTGTTTCTCCCTCGGTGCTACAAGATCCATGACCCCTATCCATTACAGGCCGACGTATCATTTGCACAAAGCAGAGACAAAGAGAGAAAGAAGGTCTGTATGACCTCAGCCCTTGTGCATGCATGTGGAAAGACATGTCCCCACATAGTCGCAATCAGACTTCTGCTTTGCAATCAGTCATTCAGCTCCTGAGAGTGCTTCACCTGTGTTAGTGCGGCATCAGCAGTCTGAGCTTCACACACTCAAATTAGCTGGAGACAGGCGGTGGGAACACTTCTGCTTTCCACTCACTCTGCTTGGGTACACAAGTTCCCCTCAGCATTCCAGATATGAGTGCAGTCAAAGTCAGGCACCAAAACATACACGTTCACACACACACACACACACACACGCACATTAACACACACATATTCTGACAGCATGCAGCAGGAGAGGCAGAGCTCTGGTTTCAGTTGAGCTCCAGGCAGCCGCTCTGTTGGACTCTTGTGTTTGCATGCAGTGGCTACTAAGGGCTTGACAACAAAGATATCATCTTGGATGAGTCGCTCCAAGGTAATCACGCTGATGATAATGTACTTCTTTTGTGCCTTGAATCCGTATTGGGTCACAAAAGGAAGGAAGCTGAAGGTAAAAAAAGAGTTATTTTCAATTTTTTTCCTTTAGGGAGAGGTGAAATGAATGTTTTCTTCATGAACTTGTACGTAGATAAAATGCCTTGGAGAATTATATGGTTGTATATTCTGTACAATTAATTGTAACTTTAATGTTCAGTATTCTTTCAAAATACTGTCAGTAGGAACATTGGTGGCCAGTGACGATGGTGATATAACTTTTTTTTTACAGTTAATAAGACCAAATACAAAGTCCAAGTCAGGCCAGTTTATATTTGTATCACCCAAATTCACAAGACACATTGGTGCATTTGGTATGAATTATGTAATATCGTCCTTTTTTGCTGCCAAAAGTTTCACCAAAGAATGCGTTGCTGATCAGCACTAGCCTTATGAAAAGGAATTAGAGAAGATTAGGATCGACACAAAGGGATGGAGACCACTGTTGATTGGGCACAGCAGTTCATTAGTGGAGGCGACTACATTTTTTCCCAGTTCCTTGAAAACTTTTGTTCATTCCCATTAGCAGGGTTTTGACTTAGCTCTCGAGTCCCATTTCACAAAGTTTAGCCCCTTCTGTGTGAGCACAGTGACTTTTACTGAGATGAGAATTCCCTTTGTCCCTCAGGAAACTCGCTGAGAGGAAGCAGCTGTGGCTTGCTGCCTTATTGCCGCTGCTGGGTGGATTTGTCATTTCCTGTGGAGTTGGCCAGTATGGGGAGGAATAGCTCAAATTCAGCTGTAGATCTTACTGCGTTTCTCCCTCTCCACAGAAAATCAAGGATCGAGGTATGAAGCCGTGGAGACCTTGATGACTCGGGAGCATTGTTTCACTTCTGCTGTTTAAGTGGATCCAGCCTTGGTCATGCAGTCGTAGATGTTTTAACCAGACTCAGTTTCTGAAGGATATAAGTGGAGGCAGATTTTTGGACTAAGAACTGAACTTTCTCAGCCAATGGCTGCAGTGGAAACCAAAGCCGCCAGCAGCAGTGCTGCAGGTCTCTCCTGGGCACGGGTTTGTAAGGAGTGTGGTCAGCAGCACGAGGGCCTGGAGAGCCACCTGTATGAGTACCAGGACGAGGTGGACGATGAGCTAGTTTGCCACATCTGTCTGCAGCCGCTGCTCAAACCCATGGACACCCCTTGTGGCCACACATATTGCTTCCTTTGCTTGAGCAACTTCCTGAAGGAGCAGGACTTTTGCCCAGTGGACCGCCAAAGAATACAGCTACATCAGTGCCGTCCCTCCAGCCTGCTGGTCAGAAATCTGCTGGACAAATTGGCTGTGACCTGCCCTTACTATGAAGAGTGCCAGCAGCAGATGCAGCGCTGTGAACTGCAGCCTCACTTGCACAACAGGTGAGTAGTTACAGTTTTACCATTAAGGAAAAAAATGGCAAAAAGAACAAAACTGACAATGTCATCCCACTTCTTTAAATATATATTAAAAATATTGATCCTTTCTTCATTCCAAAATGGGGAAATTCACAGCGCAAGTCTTTACATCGCACACGGGAGACACCATTAAGTGCGGATTCTGTGGGACTCAAACCCAGTACCCTCTGCGTGTAAGGCTCCACACTATGGAACCACAGTACATGATCCTCCACAATTGTTAAATAGGAGAAAAAGTCCTGAGAAAAAGTATCGCAATTCTAACATGCCAGAGATACATTGTGAACAAACACCATTCCTTGACGTGATATGTGGTAACACGTCTGTCGCATTGTTATGATTTCAAAATAAATAAAATCACTTTCTGCTGATGTGTGTAATAACAAATATTGACACTGTTCTGCCACTGATATATAATTAACAGTTTTTCCCAAATTCCTGGTTGTCCACTCCTGCTGCTAATGCACAAATGTGTTATCACTGAGCTAAAACAGTGTCGGTTAAATTGTTTATCCTATGGCCAGTGTGGTGCTTATTTTCCTAGCCATGACGTAGTCACTTGGAGATAGTGCAGCTGCAGCCTCTCTGTTCAAACAGACAAGAAGACAAAGTTCGTGTGAGGATCATGCAGCAGTTGGGCTCAGCTAGTCTATGAACAGTCAATGAGTCAATCAGTTGAGCACGTCTGCAGTGCTTTCAGTTACTAATTATGTGCATACATTTATTTTAAATTAAATTTCCATCAAAAATGACATCAATATGACATATGATGTGAGTTTCTTGTCCCACACACTCCTGGTTGTCCCAGTATTTTATGCACACTTGATGTTTTAAAAGGAAGAAATGGTTTTGAAATATATTGCTCATGTTCTTTGTTTGCACAGATGCCCTGTTTTTAGAAGACTGAGGGAGGAAGCAGAGAGGAGGAAGAGGCCCTCGTGGCACGAACTAAAAGGGCGTAAAGGTGAAGGAGAGTTGCCTGGTGATGCTAAGCTATCAGTTTTGCTCTCTCGAAATCCCACCAGAGAGCAGCCTGACCCTGGGCTGATAAATCCTGCCTTTGAGGAAAGTGAAGAAGGTATGAAGAAAGGTATGAATGCCCTCTTTCCTCTGGAATAGTGAGTCTAGACCCACATGCCTGTACCAACATGATAATCAAAAGGAGGACTGCTCAAGAAATGGGATTTAAGCTCGGTCACAGTCTGGTGATGACTTAGATTAATGATAGCAGACATTTTCAGGTGCTGTGGGAATTGTTTCCCTGCTACACTCATTACAAAAAATGAAAACTAGGTAGGGGTTGTTGTCAAAACACACAGACAGGAGTCACTGATGTTTATAGCCTCCAGGATTTGATTCCCGGCCTGTCTCAGGTGAATCATCAGACTAGACTGAGGTACATGTACCAGCTTATGTTGGTTTAAACCAGTGTCATCATAGTGGGGAAAAAAAAGAAAAAAATTTAAACATAATTTTACTGCTACTGAATATCCATACAAATGTCTGCCTATAAAATATATCAAAGGTGCAGAGTGAAAACTATAGTTCACATACACATCCTTTCAAATATCAACCATAATAATCACTGCATGGTCAGTTTGCCCACTTTCTGGCTCAGTTCGCTTCTGACAAGTAATGAAACGTTCTGTTTTTAATGATGATTATTACTGATTATCTCCACTGATAATCCTCTAGTGTTAGGAGTTATCTGATGTAATCTGGTGTTTCATAAACAATGACGTTCAGTAAGTGTGGTGGCTCGCCACAAAATCCCACTGACCACCACAGTTTTAATCTCCATTTCTAAAATGTGCAGACATAATAATCTGTCTGGCTGTCCTCTCCATGTTGAGGAAAGTTTAAGTTTTAAGAAGTTTATGTTATGTGTCTAAAAGAGTTTCTCCGGAAGTGACACCTCAAAAAATCGACACCTGAAACATACATGGATGAAGAAAAAAACATCTTCAGAACCAGACCCAATATTTATTGTTTTCTTTTTTATTCCTATGTGCTCTAACTGTTGGGTTTTCTTGAGCACAAATGGGGTGGAAGATAAATTCTATTCTATTGTATTCTGCAATTTGTATTGTGATTTCTCAGGTATGATTATATCATCTTTTTAGTTTTAAAACTAAACCAAAGTTTTAGTTTTAAGCACTGCTCAGCACTTCTCAGTTTTTAGCAACGCTCAATTTTAAACCTTATCACTACTATCCCTTCAACTGTTTGAGGGCTAGTGTCTGCAAAACAGGAAGACGTTGTATTTTTTGGAATTAGCAGTTAGCAAGTTAAGAGTTAGCGCATATACACAATAATGACATAAACAGTCAGGCTTATAATTCTGGTTGATCTTTGACCTCTCTTTCCCCCAGACAACACCCCCCTGCGCTCTAGTCTGGTAGCTGAAGCTAACACAGTGGAACTGTTCAGAGATGAGCCTGAGGAGGATCTCGGCTTTCGCATTGTAGGGGGAAAAGACACACCACTGGGGAACATTGTCATCCAGGAGATCATTCGAGACTCGATTGCAGCCCGTGACGGCAGATTGGCCCCAGGGGACCACATCTTGGAGGTAAAGAAACTGCTGGGAGAGCAACCTATGCATATCTGGGAAATTAGGTGACTCAGTGTGAAAGACTTTACATCAACATAACTCAGCATAACCACCATATCAGTGACCTGTTCTGTAAACACACACAGCCGCTACTGCAGAGAATGGAAAACAAGTAGATTTTCAGGAGAGACTAGTTTTAGCTCCATGGTAACCAGGTGTGGTTTGTTTTTGTCAGGCACAAACAGGTACCATCAGCAGCCATGTCACAGTTTCTCTTCTCACTGTTTCTGTCATTTTGGGGGTTTTTGTTTAGTATTTTTTAAGCTGCTGCGTGTGAAGCAAAGATCAATAAATTGGAGTTCTTTCCCCGATCCTTTAAATTAATGTTTTTATTTGATAGTGACCATATATTTTTAGAAAAAATACAAAGTTACAGGACTATATATGACCTTACTACCCTTCATTAATTGTTCAGTATTTAACAAAACCTTGCTTTTTCGCCACTATGTTGTCACACTTCCTGTGGGCCGTGTTTGTCCAGGTGAATGACATCAGCTTGGCCTCAGTCCCTCACGGCCGGGCCATCACTGTGCTGCGGCAGCCTTCGCTTCTCAGGCTCACAGTGATGCAGGAGAAAGGTTTTAAATACAAAGATCCACGGTCTGACCATCACGCCATCTCTGCCCCTACGATCGCCTCCTCCCAAACCTCTCCAAGTCATCACAGCAATGCTACCTCCAGTAACAATCCTGGTACAGTCTTGCAGGTGACGCTGATGAAGAGTCAGCGCAGCGAACCGCTCGGCATCAAACTCATCCGCAAATCAGATGAAAGCGGAGTTTTCATTCTGGACTTGCTCCTGGGTGGCTTAGCAGCCAAAGATGGAAAATTGAGAAACAATGACAAAGTGTTGGCCATAAATGGACATGATCTCAGACACGGTACGCCTGAGAGTGCTGCACAGATCATACAGGTAAAGAATCAAAAACTTTCCACATGAAAGCCTCCTGACCAAAACTGAACAATATAGAACAAAATCACGTTTCCAAATGATTTAGCTCTTTATTAGCTGTGGATTTAAAGGTCAACAAGGCCCGGTTATAGATAGTCAAGATAGTCAAGTCAAGTTTTTAATCTGACAAATGTCATTCAGCAAAAAAAACTCCCAGTCACTAAGCAAACAGGGAGAGGGCAGATTAGCCTAATAAATACATATAACACATTAGAGCGTTTTGTATATAAACTGTACTCCTACTGAAGCGCTTTTTGTCTATGCATTCAGGCCAGTGAGGTGCGTGTGAACTTTGTGGTGATGAGAACCACAGAGTGCCAGGATGAAGCAGGAAGTAGCAGCAGCAGGGAGGGTCAACACGGCAGAGCAGCCAGAAGAGCAGTGGAGCCGCAGTACTTCAGGCGCCGCTCCACATACATGAAGGTAATTCTACAGCCATTCATTCTTTGCCAACCACCTCAGCATTATTAGGAAAACAAGCAAAGGAGTCAAACATTGTGCAAGGACAGGGTGTCTCTCACCACCCACCCCCGCTTCCCTTTTTTTGTAGCAGTAAATGCAGTTTTTGAAGTAAAAATGTTTAGACTTTTCTGTTTTTGTTAACACAGTGTTGTCTTGATGATTGCTCCGTCACACTCTGTTTAATCGTACACTGTCAACAGCAAGAAAAGCAAACCCCCATTTCGGGGTGAGAATGTTTGAGAGCAGACACCTGCGTCGGTGTGCAGAGATGAAAGACTCTCTGAGGCCTCCCTCTGTCCTGATCAAAAGGCCCAGGGTGCTGCTCACTCCGCTGCCAAAGAGCCACTGTCTTGTTGTTTTTCTGCCCCTGTCTTCGGGAGACTGAGGATCAAAGACAGTAACAGTTAGCTTTCGCCTGCAGAGTTGAGTCTTTTCGTCTTGCTGGGGGGTTGTGCTCCCTGCTGTGGGGAGGAAGAGCCCCTTCACCTCCCCCCAGTCTTCTCTTCTCATAGTTTACAGACTTGAAGAAGAAGCAGGGAGGCTGGTCAGAGCTGTCATTTTCCACACATCTTTTCCGTTACGAGAGCCTAGTGTTGATCCTCACACGTTGACCTCTTCTTCCCTTTAGCTCTCTGCTACAACACAAATTCTTCACATTTGTTTCTACTAGAGAAATCTACAAGTATAACTATAAGACATCGATGAGCCTAAATACAACTTTAATTTGTGTCTTTGTTTTTTCTCAGGATCCTCCAGGCGGGTTTTCCAGCCAGGAGAAGACTGTCTGTCTGAAGAAAGAGCCACGACTCTCCCTGGGCATCACCATCGCGGGGGGCAGGGATTGTCGCAACCGCCTGCCTGTTTACATCACCAGTGTGCAGCCTGTCGGCTGTTTACACCGAGATGGCACCATCAAAAGAGGTACAAAGCAACATCTGGTGATCTGTGACTTCACCTCTGAATTTGTTTTCCCAGGAGTGAACGCAGGAAGGAAACATTATGAGTTGTACTGTAAATACGATAACTGCTAATTTAGTTATTTTTTTAATCGTTTACAAAAATCCTGGTTTGTCTGCTCAAATTCATGATATATTTTCTTTACTTCCATTTTTCCTCAGGTGACATTTTGCTGAGCATCAATGGAGTGGATCTGACACAGCTCACCTACAACGAGGCCGTGTCTGTGCTGAAGGCTCAGACGGCCCAGTCCCAGGTCGTGCTGCGTGTCATTCAGACTCTCTCTGATGACTCAGAGGAAGACAGCAGCGCTGTCAGCAGAGACGAAATGGACCTAATGGACGATCTGAGGGATGACACCCTGAACTGGACACCACTGTGGACCCGCTGGTTGGGATTACCAAGGTAAAGTAGTTCGCAAACAAATTTAAGAGTGTAGTTCATCAAATATAGACCATCATCTTCAGTTAGATCCTAAAGAGAAAAAAATCTGCCTCTTGTTGTAGTCACATGCATTGGTGTCGTGACATTGTCCTGCACAAGACCAACAACGAGAGCTGGGGCTTCAGTATTGTCGGAGGCTACGAGGAGAGTCACGGTCAGCAGCCTTTCTTCATCAAAACCATCGTGCCTGGGACACCTGCTCACTTTGACGGACGCCTGAAGTAAGTTGACCTGACTTTGACTCCAATATGATGTCACCCCCTCCTCTGTCCTGTCTTCACTCTCACCTAGCAGACAGCACATTGATCATCTGCTGGTCTTCTAACTTCCAGGTGCGGTGATGAAATCGTGGCAGTGAACGGAGCCACAACAGTGGGGATGAACAACTCATCTCTCATTCCAATGCTGAAGCTACAGAAGAATAAAGTCACTCTGACTGTGGTGTCCTGGCCTGGAAGTCTAGTCTAGAGAAGACACACGTGTACTTTCTCTCTCTTTGTCCTACGTGCACACACACTCACAGATTTCAGTGTTGCCTGGGACACTCACTGTCACCTCCATATGGAACTCTAGCTGTGGTTGTGTCTAATTGAAGGGATAACATGTGGTTTGTTCTTAAACATCAGTGTTGGATCAAGAGTGAACCTGACTAAATTTATGAAAACAACAGCACAACATTTGCCTGTGATTAAACTACGTACAATATTAATGCAAAGCCTTGTAACTGATGCCATGACCGCAGCACGACGGACACAAATCGCTGCACAAACAGCTCTTAAGAGTGGAGTTCTACGACCAACTCTTACTTTTTTTGTTGTTGTCAGACGCTTAAAACCAACATTTTACTGACACTGGTGATTCCATAAAACCCAAAAACCTCCTGGACCAGGGGGACAACTCTGCCCTCTTCAGTGGTTGTTTGCACACTACATCGCACAATATACAGCACACCAATACAGGAAGTAACCACTGCACCACAGTGCAGTGGTTAGATAGTGCATCTACACAAACTCACTGATGTCTGACCATGTTAACACACCATTAATGATAGACTGTCACTAGAACATGGCTGCCAGCATGGACTAAAACATAGATTCCAGCCATGTTACCTAGAATCTATTGGCTACACTCCCTCTGCTTTTCTCGTGTGTCCCAGCAGGGGGTCCAGTTTTCACTGAGTGCCCATGTCTCAGGCCCGAGCACTGACGTTGTGTCAATCCCTCATACAGTCACTCCTCACAAAGAACATCTGCAGTTATCCAACACAGAATGTGTGTGTACATTAGTACATGGACAGACATGTACCTGCTCTGGTGAATACAGTACAGCTCAGTCTGGATGTCAGATGATGACAATCAGTGAACTATTGTATTTTTTTGTTTGTTTGTTTTTTGTTACCAGGAAGGATTTTATTTTAGTGCTGACCTTGTTTTGATTTTCCATCTATAGATTTATGTTTATACTCAGTTAAGCATTGGTCAATGTATTTCTGTGATTCCTGTGACTCAGTTGTACGACATCCACAGCTGTGAACACGGTCTTACATGTCACACGTATTGATAGAATTACTGATGATCATTTGTCACAAAGAGAATGCAGACTTTTGCCAAACAAGGAAAAAAATCCACCTTTTGTAGCCATGTATCATTCTAAATGTACATCGTGATTTAGTGTTGTGTCAAACAAAGACACATTTTGAGGTTATTTATGTAAGGAGCAAACGTGTCTGTGGAAAAGCGACCTATTTTAACAGGCACAAGGTATATACAAATTTTAAGGAAGAGACTTTACACGTTTTTATGGATCATTTAATTAGAGTGAAAGGAAACAGTTTGGGTCTAAGTATCTGTTCAGTTTAAAGTGAGCACAGATAATGTGAGCAAATTAAACCCATATGTTTTTACACTATATTTCCATCTCTATTTATTTCAAATGATACAAAGTCCGTTGTATGATATTAAGTGAGTGCCTTGCACATGTTAAAGGACAAACCACATAATGTAGTTGCCTTAAATTGCCACTCAATGCCCACATGCATCCTCTCCCATTATTTCTTCACATTATACAGTGTATATATTTGAAATATAGTCCAGAGAATGGAAATGCTAGTCTAGCTACATTTGATTTGTTGTAACATTTACTTTCCAGGAGACCTTTTCTTTGTTAGATAGATTGAAGCTTGTTCATGATTTAATTATGTTGAATAAAGTCATTTTAAACTAGTTTTCTTCTCTTTATTAATTTACTGCGTCAGTAGTGAAGTTTCTTCTGGAATGTTCCATGTGTTGTTTTTAGATACATTTTATTTCAATTCAAAAGCTATTTAATATTTCTTAAAACATATAGAACTTTTTAAAATATATATATTTTCGCTACATTCGCCAATAAAATAACATTAGCACCGTAAGTGTCATTAAGCCGTAAATTTACCAGCATGACTACAGGCTGAGTCCAAAATGTTGATTTACCGCTGCTAGAAAAATGTCCAATAAACTGTACAGTGACCCCTGGTGGACCTAAACTGAACAGTCAAAAAAAAAAACCAAGTTATTCCTTTATACACATTCTTTTTATGAGCATATGTCAAGAAACAGAAGAGCATGGTTTGGACGGCAGACAGACGTCAAGTACAAAGGCTGAAGTGGGTCTGAAGAAGACCAAAAACATTGGCACAGATGAGGAAATTTACAAAAAAACAGCTTACATCTCACAGGGAGCCTCTAGACTAGAGTGACATGATGATGACCAGTGTCTGGTCACAAGAGCTTTTCCTGGATTATTCTCCTGGGATATCCTTCCTGACAACTTTGTCTCTTCTTCTATGAAAAGCAGAAAAAATATTTTTCACATTATTCTCTCCCTGTGACAAATAACATGTCCTCAACTGTATCCGGCATGTGCAGCTTAGGTCTGACAGCCTTTTAGGTGTCCTTCTGTCCCACACTACTTAGTGTTTGTGAAAAAACTGAACCAAGAACATCTGCATATTCAAACATTACAAATGAAAGTCAAACTGTGCGGTGTCTCATTCATTGATCTGCACCAGGAAGAAACCACCAAAGAAGAGGGTCAGCAGGAGAATGTCTACGGGACACAGAACTGTTGGTGCTGCTCTTCATGTTGTGAAATTAAATAAAACAATGTATGTGAGGAAACAGTGACATTTCCTAAGTGTGCGAAAACTCAAGACGACCCTTCCTAACAGCACATTGCTTTAGTATAACAGAAGCATCTATAGGTGAGGATTAAAGAGCGCGGTCAGATTGATTATTGGAATGAAGGGTCATTATTTCTTGTTTAAATGTAGTGGTGTAGAAGATAAAATTGATTATAAAAAGCAAATCAGTTAATTTTAATCAAAAACATCATATTAGTTATAGATCCCTGTATTCTGCAAAAGCAGAATTGTATATTTCAAGGTTAATTTCATGAGCCTTGTGTAAAAGACAAACTATTATTACCTATCTTCACTGACGCAGGTTTTTCATTTTTGCCTTCAGTCGTCTGTCGCAGCAGCAGACACGCGGCTGTTTGTCATGTTTAACAAGGTGTTGCATCATTAAGTTTAACAAGGCTGCCTGCAATTACTTGACACATTTATAAAAGTGAAGTGGAGCGTTTTTTCATGAACCTGCTGCTGATAAATTCTAATGTCATGGATCAGTGGACAGGGGAGAGAGAATACTCAGGATACTGCACTGAATTTGTCCACAACCCCCGAAAACTGTGCTGCTGGACTTCAGTGGAGCTGCTTTTATGGTCCTTTGTGTTTTTTGTTGCCCCATTCACTGCCTGTCTCTGTTCAAACTGAGGTTTTACTGCACTGTGCGTTTTTCTAACAGTGTTGTGACACTTTCAACTTAGCAACTCAAGTTACAAACAGTTGCATCTCCTTAAGGTGTGAAACAATTGTGTTTGATCACAAGAGGCAGCAGAGTTGTAATAGATTGGGAATAAAAATGTTTTTTGTTTAAATAGACAGGTCCATATTTTCAAAATACTTTTTAAAACATTAAAATAATAATAATAAAAAAACCTAACCTACCAAACATCAGTTCTTCCCTGCAGTACCTCATCTGACCACTAGGTGCAACAGAACCTAAAAGTCAATGGTATTAGATGGCAGGGAATCCCCTTTATTATAATGTAAACTTGACTATAAAGCACAAACGATTCTTTTGATGTGTCATGATAAACATGACTGCTAATAATACTGAGAAATGGTAAGCTAGTTAGCCTAGTTAGCACAGACATAAAGTGGAAATAATACTGAATAAGCCAAGTCCATTACAGTTCAACTTGAGACAAAACCAGCTTAAAGATAACCTAGACTAGACTTGCGATCTAAAATGATTAGCCACAAAATACCTTTGAGCTAACAAAAGTTGAAGTTGAAAGTAAATAAATACAGCTGAATAACTAAGTCATCAGACAAGAAATTGTCAAACATATAGCCAACTGCTATATAGAAGTACACAATAATAATAAACACAGTATCTCAAATGTGGCCAAAATAACACCATTATCCCGTCATGATGATTAGAACTGACCCAGGAATAGCTTAAAGTCAATAGGCCAAAAATATCTACAGTACGTATGTTACATAAACATGATGAAAAAGTGAACCAGCTTTAGCCAGAGGTTGAATGTCGGCAAAACAACAGGTGGACTGGAAATGATCAACCTGCCTTCAAAAAGATAATTGTTTTTAATAAAAATGGCAGCAAAGAAAAATGTCAAAAGCAACAATTTTTATTTTCTCTCTCCATAGGAATCATCATGGCAAACAAGTACAAGAATTGCAATAAGGACAACACTGGGAGGAAGATTTAAAAATCTGATTTCACCCTGTAGTTCTCTATGGTTCAGCCAAGAATCAAGAGGCACTCGAATACAACGCCGCACAGCTGTCTCTCCACAAAGATTTTATCAAACAAAAAACAAACAAAAAAAAAAACAAACAAACCATAACACTAGGCTGAAGTGAGTGAAATCAAGGAACCATCTGCTCAGGACACAAACAACTGTTGATGCATGTGCTTCTCAACACAGGACCAAAACAGTACTGCACAGAAAAACAAAACTATAAAAAAGAAAACAGATTACAGGGAGAAACAATAAATGATAATATTACTGAGAGGAAGTGCGCAGTTTCAACCATCCAACAGCACATTAGAGCTGATGCTTCAGAGAGATGATGATCACTGAACATCATCATTGGCAAACATCACCACTGAACACCCACGGTTCATTTCAGTCTGTCAAACCCGACTTCCTCTTATGCTTGAGTGCAATAAACAAGTCCCGACTCCTGCGTCACGCACATCGTTACTTTATGGCTTACGTTAGAACCAGGTCCATTTGAGCTAGAAAGATACACAGTCGTTTTTATTCATAGAAACTATGGTACAACGATAATATTGGCAAACAATAACAAAGAGCTACGTTACTTCATGTAAACAATAGTATATCAATGTACAGCTTCTCCTAACATGGTATTTACAGGTCAAGTTTTTCTAACAGCTACTTGGTACGCACGCAGGGTTACATGGAAAAATACACACACACACTCGCACACTCAGACAGAAGGTGAAAATGTAGGACGTATGTTAGGCAACTTCAACGATCCCATCTTCTTAAAAAAAAAAGAACAGGATTCAAAGGGAGAAAACCCCACAAAGAGCATTTTATACTTCAGTCTCATTAAAATACCTGATGTTTACATTTCCCATGTTACTGTTTGAGTTTTTTTTCATTATTATTCATAAGGCAAGGAGAGACCAGGAAGGCAGATGCTTCACATTCTAAGCAAAGGGATTCATTCATAGGAGAGATGGGAATCAGGCTGATGCTTCTTTGGGGTAAATGCACTTTTTTCTTTTTTTTTTGGAAATGTTTAACTTGTTTCATTTTTAACACAGACAAACGACACGCCGAGTGCAACAACAGAGGGAACGTTAGACCTACTTCAGTCGGTAAAGAATGTGCAAAATCTGCTCTAAAGCAAAGTGACAGTGTTACAAATTCATTTACAAGGTTCTGGGAGATGCACTACTCGTCACTAGAAGACGCAGGCGCAGACCCTTTGCTCCAAAACACTGTATGTACAAGGCACTAAATGTAATATTCAAGGGCTGCACATTCACTCTGATATAGGAGCCTCCTCAGTCTGGACGGAATATTGGATATTTGGGTAAGAATTCTATAAGAATCACCTACAGAGAAAATATAGAAAGAAGACAAACAGTCATCAGTGCAACAGGTTCAGAGCAGAGCTTTAACTGTGACTAAGGTGAGTTCAAAGTGGAATTTGGGAAACAGTGTCTTTAAAATACCAGTGTTAAATCAAAACAGTCCTTCAAAGTTTTTTTTTTTTTTTAAATGTCTGAACTTGTTAAAGTAACTTAATTAAACACTTATCTAAGACATTTCCTTCCAATATCTTTGTCAACTCCTAACGTGTTTGGACTGTATTACAGAAAATCCCATAATGTATTTCTTATATTATATTTCTTATATATATTACGACTTTTAGGTTTTATTGTTTTGTTTTTGTGTGTGTACCAACTATTTTCAAATGATGGTTTGTTTTATTTCCTTTTCAAAGCTGTAGTGGGGACCAGCAGGTTAATGGGTCATGAAAATAATCATCAGTTGAAGCACTTGACTCAAGTGTGACACCACTTGACAGCTGTTTTCTCTACTCACATATTCCATCATATTACTGCTCTCACATTTTCTCTTGCTGAGTTTCCAGTGCAGGCCGAGCTGTGAAGAAAAGACAAAAGCCGACACAATGAGTGACCATTCCACCCTTTATACACACACACACACACACACGCACAAAGAAAATCTGTCTGAGATCTCTCCTTCAGTGTCAGGGGAATTTGAGAACAGGGCTGTCTGGTCTCTGTGGGGTCAACCAGTGGGCAGACACCCTGAAGTGCTTCCTTTATGCCCTTGCACAACTACTAGCTGTAATTTGTTGCTGCGAGACAAAACAAAATTAACACCACATTTCAGAGCTGACCTCGCCGTCCACTCAGACACCAAACCCAAGGCAAACGGCTCTGAGCAACTTGCACTGCAGCTTAAGACTCTTCAAAGAAGACAAATTTTTGTTAACCCGAGAAGTGAAGAAACTTTGAGAGAAAGTTGAAACACTTTCTTCTCCATGTCCTTCTTACCTTGTGATATAGTCTGTGATTTTCCCACTCCAACAACTTCTGGATCGACCTTCTCGTCTGTTGGAAATAACAAAAATAATAATAAATAACATTTTATTTGATAAAGGACAGTAAAAAGGTGTGGATTGTTAGGATTTATGAACTGAACCCCTGATTTACAGTCCAGTAATTTCCACTCTGTTGTCAGTAATTCTGAGTGGTAACAGGGCCTCTAAGTGACACACCCTCAAGCGAGGCGGCTGGGTAACGCAATGCATCATTTCTACACAGGGCCACTAATTGAACATGAGTTGTTATGGCCCTCTACACTAAGACCAGCAGTGGCTGAATTGCTAAAACCAGCCCCTGAGTAATCAACGCTGATGTGAGGGAGAGTTAAAACGTCCACGTGACGGCTCTGGTAACTCACCCTCTTGTTGAGGCAGATAACAGGCCACAGGCTGCAGCCCACTGTACAGCAACAGCACAAGCAGCCACAGAGAAGCCACTTCACATTCACTGGCAAGTTCTTCTTCAGGCACGCGTTCACCCTGCTGATACTGGTCTTAAACTCCTCTGGTGCTACCTGAGAGAGCAAAACAGAACAGAACGTGTAAAAACCGAATTATTCAACTTGAAGACAAACGGGTAGAAAACAAATAATGTGTTTCTTTTGAGGGGAGCTGACTACAGTCATCAAAGATCCCTGTGCACCAACATCAAAAGGGTTTAGAAAAGCAACAGGTAGATATTTGCAGATGTTGTCCAGAGATGAGATGGCATCTCCTGAATACAATGGCTCTGACTTGCTAACCGAGCTCTGAAGTGTTCAAGGCAAGGAGGGATTCAAAGGAGAGATAAGCTCAGTGCCTGTGGCAGCGTCGGCCAAACAACTTGAATGGATGCTCATTCCTCACTGAGTCTGTACGCCATAAAACTGGGGTCGTAATCTTTTATGACAGGATGCAAAGGTCTCTTTGCAAACAGCCAAAGAGCTCAGAATAAAGCCCAGCAGGGCCTGATCTGCACCCTTCAATCATCATAATTGTGACCTCATCCATCACGTCACCCTGGATCACAATACTGGAGGTACTTTTTATTGGCCCACACTTCCCTCTGCCTGCTCTTACCCCTGCAGCCTTTTTGTGTTTGGCTGTCTGACCCAGGAAGCTTTCTGGCAGAGGCTTCATTTCATTATTTTATCACCTGGAGTTGGAGGAGTCTTCAAAACACCGGGGTCGCTATCCACTGAGCCCCACAGACAGCTTACTCATTGACAGGGCTGGACAGCAGCACATTCAGACTCTTTTCTATGCACTGCGGTGTGCTGCTTGAAATGCATCTGCCTCAGATCAAACCCACTTGGAGAGGTTTGAATGGGGAGGTTTCGGGGAAGTCGGGGCTGTTAAAGGCCCCGACAAAAGAATCACTGTGGTTTTAATTACTCAATTCTTCCGACTTGGAGTTGAACAGAAAGCAGGCAGCCTGCAAGACTTGAATGGAAGAAAAGCAAAAGGCAACTGTACCTTTCCCGTGAGAACAGAAGGAAATTCTGTGTCAAATCTGTTGCTCAGTCCGAACCTGAGGAGAAAAGAAAAACACATTAAATGACTGAAAGAATGAAAATATCATACAGTTATTCAGTAGTTACTGTTTTTATTTTTGTTGACATGAATAGCAAGAATTCAGTGTGTAACAAAACTAAGACAGTATTTACATTATAATAATTTCACTTCAGAGAATTTGTTTCATTAAAAAAAAAACAATTATTCACTTTTCAAATATAGGTAATCATGAATCAGTCTGTACCCACTATCAATCCACAATAAATTATTATGTGCCATCATAACCGACCCACAGTGTAGTTTATTCATTTAACAAATGTAACAAAAACATGTTTAAGGTGTTTATCTAAACCTTAAACGGTTTTGCAGCCCAATAAATGACCCACATTTGCAGACAGTATTCACGGCAACAAGAACAAGAGAGTCCTGCAACAGATGGTCTGGACTCCACAGAGTTTAGGTCTTAACATTATGGTTTGTAAGATGAGACATAAAACACTGAGAGTTTGGGAAGAAACAGCCCAACAAATGATCAGTATTTCTATAATCACACGACATGGAGATATTTTTCTCTATTCATTTGGACGATAAGGTGCAAAAAATGTACAAACCTGTTTTATTATTGTATCTGTAAGGAAAGTAATTAAAATAATCATTTTTTTATTTGTTTAGTTAGTAGTCTGCTCAAACATTAGGGAATCTACCAAAAACAGCTGTTTATTATGAACCAGTGATTAAACTAAAATATGTAGAAACTTGTTTTTGATGTAACATCAACTATCCATGCAACCTTAACGTTTTTATACAGCAGACTGCACTCAATAGTGTCCCAAATATTGATTTGGAATAATATTTTTTGAAATGATGAGTATATTTACTTGAAAGACTGTGCAGGCTGTAAAGATAATAGAAGTCTAACTGCTGTGACACTATAAAGAGCTCAGGTAAACAATAAAAAACTTTATAGGGTAATTAAGGTGGTGACTTTGTGTTGAACTTGACTGATAACATAATTACTGTCACTACTTAAATAAGCAAAACTTGACGTTCACAGGTTTGCAATAGTGTATTTTTTTAATTAAAAAGAAGCTAATTGTTTTTAATTCTGTTTATCTCGCGATGAATATTGACACTCAATAAACACTCGAAATTCTGGTTGGCTTTCAATTTTAGCAATAAACCATCTTGTGTTTTCTGATTCGGATAATGACAACAATATGTTTACAGTAGTTTTTTATCGTTTTTTTTTTTACTTAATTCGTTTAATCATGTCGTCCAAATCTACATTTCAACGTCACACAAGAGTCGCCTTCACTGTAACACAGTGACAATACTCTGCTCAGAACCGAACCCCGTCTGTCCTCATGTAACAACATATGTCTACTGACCGTCAACTTGTTGTGATTTGTGTTAGCTCTCAGGCTAACAGTAGCAGCTAAAGGCAGACTATCGTTGACACAGACCCAGACAGAACGAACGAGGCTCCGCTTACACTGTGATGTGCCCTGCCCCTCGCATCACCACAGGTTCCGGGCAATATCTGACCAAGTGTTCGTCGCTCACTACGTTTTCATCCTCTTCGTCTTCCTCTAACTCATAAATGGTATCAAAGTCCGCCATGTTGGCCAGAGACACGCTCATGACGTCACGTGTAAGGGACGCGCACGGAAAAAGCTGGAGCGTGAGCGCGCTGGAGGACCAGCAGTAGACTTGTGGAAGAGGAGGGTTCAGGAATCCATAATAATAATAATAATAATAATAATAATAATAATAATAATAATAAGAAGAAGAAGAAGAAGAAGAAGAAGAAGAGTAGACTACTTAATTTAAAACCAAGGACATTAGAACAGTAGTCTATTTCTTCATAATTTTGATGAGAAGTTCATCAGAATAAATATATGAGACTCTGAAGGAGGGACAGATATTGCACCCATGCTGACATGGCCAGAAATAGTCTCTGTGGAAAGGGAATAACTCCTAAAAAGATTAAAAAAAGACGAAAGATGGAGTCAATACTGAAATAGGATTAGGTTATTTAAAATACATGTCATCAAATGGCCATTAGTATAAGATTTAAAAAGCAGAATGGGTGTTTTACTGATCAGCTGGGGGAGAGGCAAACACCTACACCTCCAAAAGGTGCTGTAAAAAAGGTATGACATTCTGGACCGAAAGAACACTACTTACGGTTGACTGACAGATTTGCACAGTCCGTTTTACCAGATTGAAGTCTGTCAATTCTACAGTCTGCTCAAGAACGATGATTGCATACATTTTTAACTGTAATAAATATGTACATATGTTCAAATTGTGTAGAGGAAATGTCAACTTGTTTTTTGTACGATAACATTTTTCATAAAACACATTATTGGTTTATGAAGTATCAGTAAAAAGTTTGTCAATTGTTGTTTTTAGCCGATCGTAGTAAGTGACTAGTTAGTAACCATCTCTTTAGACGAGGCCTAAAAACGTCACGTTGATTACCAACTGGGCAGATTTACATCCTGACACTGGAGCCAACTATAAATCAGTCATTTTCTTTTCCGGGATTCTCTTAGATTTTTTCGTTTCGGACTGAAGTCACTCAAATGACTTCAACCAAACCAAACCATTACAAAATACTTTTGTTACGAAATTATGATTTTTATTTACCCTATCACTTAATTATACTGTATCCCAAGTATTTTCACACAGCCATATATGAAAGACAATCATTTCAAAGTTCCCATTCTCACTTTGCTGCAGTTTTTAGTAACTTAATCGTCGATAATTGACGACTACATACGTCAACAGCATTTATTTATTTATGCCTGAGCTCTTGAACAGAACTACGGGAATCTTCGACCAAACAACATTTGAAAGCGTTAGCATTTCGAGGGTTTAGTAAATAAAAACATTTCCCATAACTTGTAATGTTTGTTCCAGTTATTTCGCTTTAATTTGAACAAAGGTTAGAAAACCAGTGATAGCTCGAGGTCTAAAAAAACAACTCACGATAACGTCAACAAAATTGAAAAGAAAATACGATATAAAACCTATTAACAGATACCTTTGTATTCTCTGTGTGTTTACTCAATTTACATTTAGGCCTAACGATACAAAGTGTTGAAAATGATTGACGTTGGAAAGAATGAAAACTTTGAGCGTATAATGCAAAAAACATTTTTATTTACACGTAAAAAGTAGCACCAAACGGCCTCTGCACTTATAAACCTCTGTTTCTCACTAAAGTAAAGATTGTTGCTGAAAACCGCGCAAATTTCAATGATTTGTCAAAGTCCAGTGATCGATCGACGATCCAGATCCTCGTTAACAGTTCTTTTTAAAGATCCCTGAGTTTTCACATTATTCGCAAACACATCACATACAACACAATGATATTTATATTTGGCTTTTATCAACTCACAAACAATTTAAAGCTTTCTTAGAAGTTTGGAACACGTCATTATTTTCCGCATTTTTAAAAATCCCACATTTATTAGAACTATTCTATAAAAATCAACATTTCAAGAGCCTCCAGCTTTTTTTGTTTTTGGTTTGCGTCTGAATCCGCTGCGTCGTGGGTTAAAATCCCTGGATTCTCTGCATCAAGTGTCCTGTCACAGAGTCGGAGTGCTCACTTCTGGTTCTGGTGCCGATCCAGGTCCAGGTCCAGGTCCAGACCGGTGCTGGACCTGTGGTCCGGACTGTCACTGAGTCACTGAAACCTGCTGTATATTCCTGATAGAAGGCAGTTGGTTCATCTGAGGAGGGAACATGGAGGGAACGTGGATGTCCGTGGGGCTGAGAGAGCCCGGCACCGGCAGAGGGCTGACTGATCCCGGGTCACTGTGGACCGAACCCCCGCTGCCGTCAGACTGACCCATCTTCTTCTTAATCATCTTCCTCTCTTTAGCTCTGCGGTTCTGGAACCAGATTTTCACCTGGACAAAAAACAGGCCACATGGAAATCCAATTAGAATAGAACAGAGTGGAGCAACAATTGGACTGCAAGCCTGGGAGTTGTTACGTTTTATTTTGTAATTTATAAGTCATGTTACTACATTATTTTAAAAGATTTTTAAATTGCAAAATAAAAATAAATGTTAAATTTTAGGTCCATATTTCCTCATAGACATTATCTCATACAAATAGAACTATTGAAAGTATATAATATAAATCGTGTGACTGTAGAGTTACCTTTTACGAATTAACATTAAATCATGAAAATGCATATGAAAGAAAAATATAAACCTAAAAACAACATTGCTGTAATTGAAAACATAGCTATCATGTGACATTCTCTTGAATATCATTTATTATAATTTCCTCTGTTTTTTTAAATAATGTGGTTTAAAACTATCCTTGTTGTTTCACAAGAACACATTAGTTCAATATGAAAAAAGTAACTTAAAATAGTTTAAAATGACTGTTAAAACATTTACAGATATTCTTTGATTTGTTATTAGAATTATAAAATGTTTTAACTTATTACAACATTGTTTGTTGTTGTTTAATGTTTTAACTTATTACAACATTGTTTAGTTGGAACTAAATACTAATATAACTAAATAATATATAATATATATTATATATATATTGAAATCACATTTTTACATTTCAATATTTTAAACTACAACAGTTATCATCATAGTGATAGTTATATTTATATTTATGATATTATCATGATTTATGTTAATGTATTTTAATGAATCCTAATGAAGTACAACATTTAAATGGACGAAATTTGCTCCTTCTTGTCCATTTAATTTAAACTAATTTACAAAATTTTTAAAAGCTATTTACTGTGTTCTACAGATTATTGACATTATTGGCATCCTTGTATATTTTTGACTTACTGTGTATCCCTGGCAGCCTTAACAGAAAGTTAAAACAAAGTTTCACCTGAGTTTTCAGCAGAACTCATTGACACTATAGTCAGTATTATGTCCTAATGTTTTGTCTCATCATTAACAACTGCTTCATCCACGTCAGTATTTTCCTTACCTGTCTTTCGGACAATCCCAGATTGACAGCCAGCTCAGATTTCCTTCTGATGGTGATGTATCTGTTAAAATGAAACTCTTTCTCCAGCTCCAGCCTCTGGTGGTCTGTGTAAACTACCCTGTATTTCTCCTTCGTCCTTGTTTTACCTGAGAAATAAAAAGTAACATTAAATCCAGCACAGTGTTGTGACACACACACACACACAAACACACACATTAGGGTCAGGACTGACAGTCTGGCAACATGCCAGAACTGGCCTGTATCTGCACGCAGCATCTTTATGAGCTGTGTTCTTTATTCACATCTCTGTTTTATCTACAGATACGCAAATGGAGCTGTTTGATGTGACTTGTAGAAGAGTGAATTTCAAACAGCCACGAGCCGGACCCACTGACAACTTAAAAAGAACGACGGTAGATGGAGGAGATAAGAGCTGCCTCTGCAGAAACTGCAGAATTTATTCTATGTAAAACACCTCCAGTCATTGTGCGGCCTATATTCTGTGTATTGAACCCGCAGCCACACACGTATATGTCCTGCTGTGTGGTTTGTCAACACAAACATCTGACAGCGGAAAACGTCTCGGATTAATTCCTGTCATAAATGAAGAATCGTACGCACACATCTGTGAGGGGGGCATGAGTTCTGAAGTTTCTGTCCACATTTGAACAAACTGCAGCTGTGAAAAACCTCACTCCCTCCACCAGTGTAACTCTCGGAGAGGAAGAGAAGAGGTTGGTGCATATCAAAGTGCTAAGGTGTTGAAAGCAAAGGCCACCGCCTGGATTTGACGGATAACACTCCAGAAACACCCCGACTCAGTGACAGGGAGCTGGCGCTCACATCTACACCAACATTTACATGACAACTGTATCAGCCTGGCGCCCAGGTCTTTACACCTACAATCCTCCACATGAGAGGCACTAATGGTCTGCGGCTCCACTCAAACATCACAAATATGACATGTGGAAATGAAATATTAGGGAGAATACTATTCCAATTCGCGGCTGCGCGTTGTTTGGTTTTGGTTTTTTTTCAAAAAAAAATGCAAGCACAAAAAGTCATACTATCTTTTTTTTTCAGAAATGCAAGCACAAAAAGTCATACTATCATTTTATACACAAACACAACAATAATAACAACAGTAAAACTAATAGTAATGACATTTATAAAAAAATAAACAATACAATAGTAATTATTATTATTAAAGTAACACGCCGTGCGTAATTTCTGTTTTTGGCGCTTCGTTTCCATATATAACGCCTATAATTCTGCTGTTTTTTTCCCTCACCAAATTAACCCAGTGTTTTTGTCCTATTTTTCTGACTCACCTGTGGAAGATGATTGCGCAGTTTTACTCATCCACTGATACGAATTGCGTCTTTCTCTATCAGGAGAGAGTTGTCCGACTGTTACGTTCTCCGGCGGTGGTTGTAAGACCGCAGATCCGGGCGGATGCATGTGACTGTAGTCAGAAGAGCAGTACGGAACCTGACCCGGTGACGTGTTGTTCATTGGTGTGGGAATTGTATTAGGCGGTCCTAAACTATATGCGCCCCAGTCCTCTCTCGGGGCCCCGTATGTTGGGCCCCAGCTGCCCGCAGACTGTGCGTGCGTTTCCATGTTTGGCACATGATGGTATCCGGTAAAGTCGGGGTACTGTGGAGTGGAGACAAAGTTCTGTGGAGGCAGATTGATGCTGGATCTTCTCGCGGGCCCTTGGTGATACATGCCGCTCTCTTTATCCAACAGATATCCCACATACATGGTTTGTACAAGACACTAGAAAATATTGTACAAATGGCAAAAACTTCGATGGGGCCTGATTTAAGGCAACATTGTTGCCTTTCAAACCTGGTAAAAAAACTCAATCCTGATTTTTTTTTAGTCCAGATAAAAATCCACAAGAGAATCGCAGCGTAGCTCCAGTCTGTGCCCCCCTCTCACATGATGTGGCTCATATTGACAAGGTGGTAAAGGTCTACTTGGGCCTTCCTGACGTCAGCGCACTCCTCGACTCTTGAAGATTTGCATCCAAATGTAAGGAGCCACTGATGTGGCCAGCCCAGTGTTCCTTGCGCCTGTCCGGTGTGGCGCGTCATCACCTGACAGTGGGCCTATCCTGGCCGTGGCTTCTTCTCTCCATGAATAAATTAACACCACGGCCAATCAGCTTCTGAGGCTGCGCAGAAACCCTGAGGCCAAAGGCGCAAAGTCACAGAAACCAAAAAGGCCTGTGCGTAATTGCGCAGAGATCAGGTTTATTATACAAGGTTAGAGCTCACTTTCTACGAGCCACCTGTTTAATATGAGCTCTAACTCTTGGTTAATATCCTTTATGTAAATATGGGGAATGATCTGAGACGTGCTGCTGTGGGAATTCAACAATTTTCGACCACGCTTCACACTGAATATCCTCCGATTTCAGATATTCACTTGCAAACGAGGTGCAAAGTATGAGAGGCGTGATTTGTCTCTCTCAGAAGCAGGTCGAGCCTTTAGTATTCCGTGTTCACACCTCAAGGTCGCACTTCACAGCTAATTCCGGTTACAAGGAAACTCCAACAACCCCCTCTGTGACAAACAGCGGCCCTGACACACATCACTCACACACGGCTGTCTCCAGAAATCACACTATTTCCTTCACTGACATTTTTGTTGAATGTGACCCACGAGTCTGGCGAAAAATATGTACTGTTAGTTAAAAAAAAATCAAAGTAATTTATATATCTATGATGAAATGTAGGATTTCATAAAACGGTAACAAAAATAACTCATTGAAAAAATAATCTTTATTCAGTTTTTTGGGAACCAATAATCTGAGCCTGGGTCTCATCTTCTGTTGGATCAGACTGATATTTTGTTTTAACCTTGCTCATCTCCTGGACAGCTGTCTGGGGCCTCGTTTCAGCACAGCTCTCTAATTGACTTGTCCAGGAGCCCAATGAAAAGTCATAAATGCTGATGGGCGTCTCTGAAGCATCTGTTTATTGACCACAAAATATTTATGAGACAATCTGAGTTATCCTCTGACAGCCCACGGTCGGCCGCTCTGTCAGGATTTGGTGATGTATTCTTTGTGGGTGTCAGACTACAGTTTATAGAAGTGGACACTAGTAAATAAAAGAGGTCGTCTTTAAAGGCCTCATGCAGAGGTGGTATTTTTTGATGGAGGACATTTAATATTACTACATTTGTCTCAGTAAAATTTTATTTTTCGACACAATCCGTTTCAACACCAACTGCAATGACTTAATGTATTTCTAAATGTATTACATTTTCTGTATACATCCTTTATTTCCTTAATTTCCTTTAATCTTATTTTTATTTTTCTGCCATTCACCGTCTCTGACACTGTTTGCAAATTTCCCCTGTTTGAGCCAAATTATTCTTATTCCTATATTAGGAATAACTTTATATTGTGGTTGGATATCCTCAACATTAACAGTCCAAACATGTTGGAGAGGTTGTAGTAGCTTTAATTTATCATTCAAACACAAAACATGTGGTACATTTACGATGTGGTAAAAACATGACATGACAACAATTTATAAAGATAAATAAGTTCATACTATATAAAGAATGTATATTAAATTTCCGCAAACGAGAATAGTACAGTATACTTTAATGTATACTAAATCTGAGAGTATCTTTGGCTGCCATAAAAGCAACTGTCGGTGAACTCAATATGATTTTCATTAAAACAAATTTTCTTAATCTTCAAATAAATCATTTTTAACCTATGTATAGTGTTAAGAATATGAAATATCTAAATTGTATTGTATGCTTCATACAGGCTTCAGGTATTTCAGGTAATTTAATCTAAGGAAAGTGATCTAAGGACTTTTAATCAGATTCCATTTTAAAAATACATTTGTTTTGATATCAGTGTTTTTTTAACTTTTTTTTTTTATCACGTTCCGTCGTCATCGCTTGAGCCTTTATCTTACATCCATACACTAAGATTGTTTAAATTTGACATGTTATTCATCTTGATAGAGTGCACTGAATGCTGCCCTCTCGCGGACAATAACGACAGCTTGTCAAATATCGTGATAAAATTTATATTATACTTAAATCCACTAAAAGTTGGTTTGAATTCATTCAATTAGAAACAATTCTGTTTATCCCATTATTGAGTGTGTAATTTATAGACTTTGTTTAATGACATCAGTTTTAACATTGAACTATATTGATTTTGAGAAAATGATTTGGAGGTTTCAGATTTAAGCAGTTGTCAACATGTCTTCCCACTGCTTAACAACAAGCATTAGTGTTTTCTTACCTGAAAAGATTTTGACTTGAGTCCTGGTTTATTTATTGCAGCAGTGGCTATAAAACAAATGAAAAAAAGTTACAGATTAAACTGAGCTCAACGTCAAACAGTTATTAACCAGGAACCTTTAAAAAAAAAAAAAAAATTAACAAGTTAGACATTAAAAATCGAATAAATCAGTGTAAGCTCAAAGGTGGTAAAGAATATGTGCACGTTATGTTAACATGCAAAGTATGTACATATATAGTTTACACGTAGTTAAACATGTAAAATAGTGTAAAATAGGAAGTTAAACTAAAGGTTTGGAAGTATACGCAGCATAGCATATACTGTGAATACAAAATAAAACAAAGACTTTGCAAAAACAAACTAAACTACAAACTAAACCAAAAACTACAGTTAAAATGAGCTAAACGACAACAAAAAACCATCACAAAAATCTTCACTTAATAGCAAAAAACAAACTAAAACTAGCAGCCATGAACGTAGCTTAGAACCAGCCAAAAATAAAGCAGGAATACAAGAGCTTAAATGTTATTCCTGGGAATATTGTTGCTGAACGCTAGAAAATAATATAATGACAAGTTTGTGGGGAACAGCAAATGTCCAAAATATAGCAATATAAAGCTGGGGGATAGCTAAGATGATTGCTAAAAGCTAGCCTAAAGTTCTTAAAGATGATTAGGAAAAAATACGATAAGTAATAAGTAAATAGAATGACCTAACCTGTCAGGTTTTTAGACTGTGAAATAACGACTTTAAGTTACGTTATATTCCATACAATGTTATCGTAATTAAGTTGCTCAACGTTAATATCTCTTTGACTACATTTAGTCTGTGTTGGTATTCCCAGCGTCCTTACCTTGATATTGTCCAACTATGACCAGTAGATGGTGCCATTGGGTTGGTAATGAAGTACTGTATTTCCAAAGCGTTAAATTACCATCGGACTGAGTTTACTGTGGAACAGGAGGAAGAACGGAACTCTTATTTACGCCTTTTGAAATGGACTAACCTAAAATATAAAATATTCATTACCATTTTAAATTCAACTTTACACTTTATTTAACAGGTTATGTGGCTGTTTTTCCAAAATTGAAAAAAAGTCCTAAAATATTTATTTATTCATTCATTGTTATTTATGTTAATGCTTCCGTTTTATTTTAAACAGATGATCGCGTGTTTTATACTAGTTTTATATCTGAGGGGGAAAATGAAAAAAAAAAAAAAGTTGTACTGTAATGATCTGTACTGTCAGCACCACTGACATCCGTGGTCTCCGTGACTGGAGTATGAGTTGGGCAGGACTTTCCCTGAGCTCAGCAAAGTGCACATGTAGTAAATAAGTGACAGTCAGTGGCCAAGCAGTCCAAGAATTTAGTTTGTTGCATAACTTCATTGATGCTGTGAAGTGGCCATGTTACTCTGCATGAGAGGAAGTAAAACAGGACCATCTGCTGCTATTTTTAGAGGCTCTCTGTGGCCCTTGCACACAGGCCCATCTTCCAGTTTGTCATCACTGATGTAAAACACATGTACAGAACAAAGCAAAGACAAGTCTGCTATTTAAACGTTTGGATTCGTTAGCCATTCACACACAAGTAGATATTTACCACATTCTGAAGGATGTTTGTGTTTACGGCTTGTTATTGCTTGGCTGAGGAGTGAACATTTTTGACACACCGGGGGCTGGAACGTCACAGTGTTCAGGAATTTGTGTGGGAACTGGACGTCCATCTGGACAGAACAAAGAACTGTTAGGAGTTGCATAAACAAGAAATTGATCCAGGGTCAGGGATTAGAAGCAAGTGAAGCTAAATATCTTAAAAAATATTAATTGATTAAAACTAAATAATGTTGTATAAAGTAATTTTAATTAAGTTTCTTTGTTGCTAACTTTTAGCTTCCCTGTCTGACAGAACAGTAAGAAGAGTTATTTTAAATACCGGAACAAATATAATATGTAACTAATTGTCTTGTCAACCACAGCCCCCCCTACAGTCCCTCCTGGACCCCTGTGTTGAAGACCTCTTATGTAAGGAAATAGTGCCCTTGTCTGTCAGACATGACAATCTTTCATTTGAGCCAAAAAAAAATTTTTTTTAACGCCCCGCAACCTTTTTTATTTTTACAAACTTCCATCAGAAACATTTAAAGGGCTGATCATGATTTTAATAATATCTTTACAAAGTGGTTCTAATGTGGCAAACTTGAGACAAAACCACAGTTTCTTCTACAAAGTGAAGGTTTTGATTTCTCACATTATGACCCATTAAATCAGCCCAGGACTGAGCCAAAGAGCAGCTGGACGTCCCACAGAAACTTGGCAACACATAGAAATTCCACAGAAAGGCAATAACACGAAAACGTGCATCTGAGGTCCACAAACTAACCCCACCATGTGCACGTTAATTACACCACTGTGGATGCAGCATTTTTCCCAGGGCCTCCTGGTGGAGGAGCTCTCTATACAGCTCCAAGCCTCCTCCTGAGGTGTAAACAATAGGACAAGTGGCTGAGCTGGTTTCACCACACTTTCACCTCTGAATGGGCCTTGACTGATCTGGAGGCTGCAGAGGATGATGGGATTGGTCATTGATTGATATTTGAATGTCACTAGATTCCATATGAAATTTCAAACTACTGTAAATATAGGATGAGGGGAACAAACATTTTATATTTTATATTTTTCCTCAAGTTACCATACTTAACAGATGGTCAAGGCTTTAAATATATATGATCATGAACCATACATATTTAGGCAAACAGATAAACGGAAATTGTTGTCTCTCAGTCAGAAATACACAATTCCTGCAAACACACAAGTGCTTGATATTAAACTGCAGAATAACGAGGTGCCTGTTTACACCATATAAACTGTGTTTTTATGTTGAACTTGGCCCAGTGCCTCTGGGTCAAGTTCAACATAATTGTATGAAATGTATGAAAGAGCTGTACATTTATATATATTTTTTGAAACATTTTGTAGTTTTACTGATCGCCTGCCTTTCCCTGACATGTTCAACGTGTGGTTGTTAAATTCACTTCCTCCTTTGCTAAATTAACCTGTTCCTTGTTCCTAGTTTTTTATTTGTGTTACCATTGTTCATTCATTTGCCAAATGTTCTACAGTATTGCTGAATCCTTTCCAGAACTCTGGGCGGTGCTGGAACTGTTCCCAGAAGTCATCGGAACAGTTCACCAGTCCATCACAGAGCCGTATGTTGAGACTAACAACCATTCACACTAACATTCACAAGAACATTTAACCTGACGATGCATGTTCTTGGACCGTGGGAGGAAACTGGAGGAAACCCATCCATGAATCTAGAGAACATGAAAACTTAACATAGAAGGACCACGCGGAGTCAAAGCAGCGATGGTATCGGGCTCAGATTTACATTTGATCACAGACACTATTATAGACATGTTTATCATCTGTTTATCCACCATCACCTTTAGACACACAGTGAAGCTGTATCCCCTGACAGACGTCTTTATTTAGCTGCTGCTGTTGTCGACCTTTTACTGTGCTTGTTAAAGGTGGACAGAAGCGAGTGTACAGAGGGGACACAGGGGACAGTATCCGGCTCATTGTTCTGTGATTAGCACAGAGACATGGACGTGGCATGTTCACCATTCACCTTCTTGGGCAGGGGTCTGGGAATATCATTGTGAAGGATTTTCATGAGGAGGAGGAGGGGAGTGAGAGGAGGACCTTTGTACGGCTCTGGTCAACGCCCTACGGTCAGTGTACAATGACAGGGTTTGAAGCTGTACACATTTAAAATCTGAATTTGTTTCTTTGCAGGATTTTGTTGGCACTTCTCTTCCTGAGTATAATGTTTTGTTATTTAGCTACAAGGGTAAAGGTGATGTACTGGTGAAAAGGGAAAGTTAGAGATTGTAATCTCCAGTGCTGTTTTCACAAGTTGAAAAAAAAAACAAAATACAAAACCACTTTGTCAGACCTGATACCTGGTATTGATATCAGTAGGTGTATCAACAAGGGTGAATAAAGACACAGAGAGACAGGGCTGCCTTACAAACATCAGGATTTCACAGTTTTTCTCCAACTCCAAGGTAAATAAATGGATCAGGTTGCACAGCACTATTAGTGATATTACAGGCCTATTAAAAGTCATTTGCAGCAAATATTTATTTTGTCCCCTCAGAAGGAGCTCTAGAACGCTAAAAACTGTCCCTATGTGTTGACAATGTGCTAATTTCTTCTTTAAATAAATGCAACTAAAGCAGCAGATATGGCGTGGTGCTGCTACAAACTGAACACTCAGCAGTTTGAACTGTGAGACAGAGCAGTTTTTAACAGACCAATCTCCTTCTTTTCTCCTCAACTCGTACATGAATGGAGGGCAGTTATCAAAGACTAGTACAGTCATCTGTGATGAATTACAAGACTGGCTCTGTGTATTTCAAATCTGACTTTATGACAGTGTGTATAATTAAAACCTAACGTGACTACAGTGTAACAGGGGGCTGTGGCCGGTCAGAAGCAGAGGACTTGTGGTGAGTAGTTGCACAGATTCATGTTCTCACGTGTTTCATTACTGTCATTTGTTTGATCACAGAAAACACTGAAGCAGTTTGGGGTCGTAGCACAACATCCCGCCTGAGTTGAGAGTATTTCTCAGCAGCTGGTCTGCTGTTTATTATAGAACCTCACGGAGGATTGAAAAATAAACTAAACCATGGTGTGACCCAAAGACAGCGAAGAGAGATTTATGTTTTCACATAGTCATTAAATGATTTGGTTAATAACAGGGGGGTCTCCAACATTGTTGCGGGGGAAGACGTAATATTGTAAAAATGGCCAAGGTTGTTTTTGAATGCAATGTTTTCAACTCAGTGTGAAACAAATGGTTTTGTTACATTTCACACTTTCTTCTGCATCAAGAGTCGAAACGGTTAGAGCATATAGAAGAAGAGTGGTTGGAGACAAATCAAAGAAGAGAATAAAATTCAACATGAGAATGACATCTCACCGGACTCTCTGTCTTTGTAAATGTGACAGGAAGAAATAATCTTAAGTCTGTAATCTGCTGCCAAGACCAGCTTCAACATCAAAGAAGTGGCAGGAATCTTTGGCAGGTTCAGGTTTGCCTCGCCTTAATGTGTTTACAATCTATTGTCGTCACTCGACCATGGGAAAAAAACACAGCTAGCCTCTGTGAAACATACTGTAATACAAATTATACTAGAAGAAATGGTTCAACATAACGTTGTCTTAGACCTTAGACCCTAACGTATTTTCTGGACTACAGGTTGCACTCTTTTCATCCTTTGGCTGGGATTACGACTGGGTATACTCAGGTTCGACTTATATATTAAAATATCTAATTACACGTTTGTTATTTTCACAATGACAGCAACTAGAGGGCACTCTTGCAACATAACACCGAAACAACATACTGTATATGTTTTTTTTCTTCATTATAGATTTTTTGGCTGGTGCGACTTATAGTTTGGAAAATACGGTAACATTTAAAGTACCTGATGATTCTGGATTTTTTTCCCCCCATGAACCGATTTTTACACTGTTCTAGTTTTAAAGATGACATCCAAAAGGTCTCAACTTGTATATCTTTGTTCACTGCTCCTCTTTTATTATTTTTAACGCATACTATATATCAAGGATTGGTATATTTTATATTTATATACACACAAAAAAAAACAACATCTGTCCTGGAACTTTTGGACTTATATATAATCTATAAAAAACTCAGTGAAAAGCAGTAAAAGACCATGGTGGTCTCCTTATCTCTACCTGGATGGAAAAACACTGAGTGTAGCTGCAGATACAACAACCCTGTTTGTTACCAGAATAAAAGCAACACAATAATGTGACAGTCAAGAATACCCTTCCTCTCCAACATCCTTCCCTTGTTTGTTTGTATCTATGCTCTGGAAATAGTCCTCCCCCTCCGAGGTTGTTGTGATGGCTGTAATGTGAGGAACTCGCCTCACACTTCACACTAAATCCTGTGAGGACAAGTGGAGACAGTCAAGGGCCCAACCTGTCTCGTGGCGTACGAACACACCTCAGTGCCAGTAAAGCAGAAGCCTTGGCCTCCCAGAGGAAGCCCCCGTGTGTGGCGGCCGCCGGCCGAGACCCGGATGATTAAAAGTTCCTTCCTTTCCCACTTGGAGTGGGCATTGTCCCGCCGCACAGACAGACTGTCCACACGGCGTCCTGACCAGGAAGTGAGTCTCTGAGATTCCAAGGAGCTGCAGAAAAGTCCACTGATGATGACGATGACACAGTTCAATCCAAACAGATCTTTTCATCAAGCTTTGGGAAATCTAACGGAAACTATCAATGAGCGTTTGTTTCAGCAGAGACCTGTAGTTAAATGACACACTGCACTCTGCTGCTGCAGTAATGTATCAGCAGTGACCCTTAGAGGGGGCTGTGGCTCAACCATGGGATCATTTGTAGTTGTAGTTGTGTAATTCTTGGGGTTGAAACGGTGGTTTGTGGCCTCACCTTGGATCAATTCCCACTGGGACCTGATGGTCTTTAGTTCCTACATATAGTTTCCTCCTGCAGTTGAAACACACGCTGGATGTAGATTACTGGACACTCTACATTGGCCATAGGTATTGGTGTAGCTTTGTCTCTATATGTGACCATGTGACCCTCCATCTCCACTCCCACAACCAACTGTCCCCCTGACCTGAAGAAGTATTTGGCAGTAGGAGATAAGGTAAAATACTTATTTTTGTAAAAACATTTGTTTTGATAACTACTGCCAGACTGTTATAACATATCTAACAAAGATTGTTGAATTGTTGTAGATAAAAACCTGCACCTGATTAAACAACACGCTTTAGTCAGGTTCTGTTCTGCTCAAAAGAAACCACTCTAATTTCATCTTTTGGTAAATTATTTTATTTTATTACGTTTTCTGTACTCTTCAGATTTCTCCACTTTTGTTTTGATTTGTTTGGGTGTTTTTTTAACTGATTGGACACTTGATATAGAAGTCATTGGTATTTTTAAAAGAACACAGAAAACAAAAAAGTTTTTGGATACACAGAGAGAAATGGCTGATAATGGATTCTACTGTAAGAAGAACCGCATTTCACGTTTTTTAGGGCTTTTTTAGGCAGAGCGCGGTGAGAGGTTTGGAGTAAAGGCCGACGTACACGGTTATATACATGTTATTGGACTGCTTTACCAGCTCTGATGACAGTGAGTGTCAGCAGTGTAAAAAAAATAAACACAGCAAGACATGAGTTCATGTATAAATATATAGATCTTTATTCATTCATTTTCTTCATATGCTCGGTTTACAGTGTTGAGGAACAAATACTCTCATTGAAACTAGCTTGTTACACTACATGAACAAAACAGAACACACGTTAGGAGCTGTAGGGATCGTTAGTCATGTGATACATGAGGACACAAAAGAAACTTTAAATTCAAACAGTGGTAACAATTGATCTTTGAATGTGCTTGAGCTAATGTGTGATAAAATAAAACGTAACAAAAACAAGATTGTAGTTTAAATATAGTAAAGGAATGTGAGGTTGTTAGGATACAACAAATACTGAAAACATTCATTTTCGGCTATACACTAGTTCAATTGTTAAATATGAAAAAAAATATCACAGATCTTTATATAAAATGTGGCCTTGAACACTGTTTCAATATTATAATAATATAACTTTTGTATACAAAAAAACTAAACTTGATATAAAATATCAGTGCATAATCAGGTCCTCTCCACACCACAAAGACAACATGGATTTGGTCCACAGATAAAAACATCACATGGGCTTTTATTTGGACATCAGTTCATTTAAAGCTGCTTCTGAACAGTGGGTGTCTGTAGTCACACATGGAATCAAAAGTTTAGTTTTGGACGTATCCAACACATCCTGCTTTTAAAAGAACGAAAAAAAGGGAAGTGGGAACACAGAGCTCAGTGAAGCAGAGCCGACTGGTGATAAGGTTACCTATCTGTCGATGGTTGTTTCTAGCCTGCACTGTAAGCGTTACTGAACACTGATCACAGAACCACAGAAAGATGAAGAGCACAGAGAGTCAGTCAGTGCTGCTGACCCTGGTCTGAGGAGGACTGAGCTGCAAATACCAGAGCCACAGTGTTTACAGTCTAAATAAATACACAATTCCCTTCACTAGTGCTTTACCTTTGAATACTTCCTATTAAGCCTGGCTCTATTTTTATTTTTCTAACCTAATTTGTTTACGTGGAAATAAACATAATGTGGTTTCCTTCTCTCTCAGTGACCTCAGGGGCTTTAACATGGACATGTTCAAATCCAGTAAAATAAGTTTGACCTCTCATCCAATTCAGGGAAAACTGAACAAATGCCGTGGACGAAGGCTGGTCTGACATTTCTGAGAATACTGTGACCTGGAGGTAACTGGCAACTGTCACATTTCTTTTTCCTGTATTCCTGTATCACCAACATTTAAGATAAGGATGGATCAGAATCATCTCTGACTCTTTATCACTTCATGTTCAATTGAACTGAAACGTTGTGTCCATTCTGATTGTGTTTGTTGTTGTTTTTTTCAACTTTACCCTGCTTTAATGTGAGTTAGATAACCTAGAACAGTGGTGCTAAAAAGATTGAGTCACAGAACCCACATTTTACCTGAGTCAGTTGGTCTCCACCCAAGTTCTTATCCAAATACAGCAATACACAGGGCCTTGCTAAGGCATAGAAAGTGACTGGAATGTGTTACTGTAGAGATTTTGTTATTTAGTAAAAAATATCTGTAAAATATTCTATCTGTGTGGCTCTGACCAAAGCTGCAGGTTAGAGGCAGAAGCTTGGTCAAACAGAGAGTGTTGTTCTGGACTGTTTTTCACAGTATCACCCTGTCCACAAACGTATACTTATGATCAATTTTTGGCTCACGACCCAGCTTTTTAGAAACCCATAATCTAATTTCTCCTTCAACCTAAATAACAATTAGCTGATTCATCTGGGGGGCAATTAAGAACGCCGTAAAAATAATTTGTGAGATTTTAACTTTTAACAAAAGTCAACATTAGACAGGGTTTCTGTTAAGAATCCTGGTTTGGCTGTAAGAAATGTATAAATATATATAAAACTGTGCCAGTCTAAGCATTATTAGCATAACCAATCACTTGTGAAGGTTTCGTAACATTAAATCCCACAGTTTGATGTTGAAATTGGAATCATGGTTGGTTTTCACAGTAGATGAAGAAAACAAATATACCTGAGCCTGTTTTCAGCTGTTAGACATATCACAGTGAAGGTGGAAGAGAGCAGCAGCAGCAGCATGGAGGTGAAGCCTACATCTGAGAAGTGTGAAGAATGAAAAAGTCTACAGGAAGAAAAACCTCTGTTGATGTGAGGCAGGTTGATGTCAGAGTTGGACCTCATCTCAAACGCTGCTGCCACACGACAGACGCCCAAAGAAGAGCGAGGCACAGGCCCGGAGGCTGCCACGGAGCAGAGCACAGATGTTGTTACACAGGTGGAGTGGAGTAGCGCACCACATAGTTGTAGTCAGGAGGTGGGCTGTGACACTCCAGCCCGTCGTCCAGGGCTGAGTCGTCTAGACTGAAGTCCAGAGAGGGAACAGTCGGTGGGAACTTCTTCTCTGACTCACAGAGAACCGACTCCTTACTCTTACTCACTGCCTTCATCCTGGAAACACAATGAGACGCAGGCTACAGTTCATTCTTTTTGAATTCTTCTACTGCTGAATATTTTCAAGCTCGTGGAACAAACTACAGTTTAAAAAGAAATTAGAAAACAAACTACTAGTTAATCAAACATTAGGCCTCTAAATGCACCACCAAGCTGCAGTAACAACAAACTAGCTTTGTTTTGGATTTCCTCTTCATAACTTGACCTTGTTACCCTTAAAGGGCTCCTTGTGAGGCTGTACAATTTAGACAAACATTTAACTTATTCATGTAGGACATAATAAATCATCGCGGCCTCTTCTGCTTCATTAGATCCTCAGAATATGAGTCATCGCCTTTCATTGTCTTTGCAGGTTGCCATGGGTTTCTGGAGCCTTCTCTCCTGAGGCCAAAGGGTCAGAGCTCAGCAGGAGGAAGTGATGGTGCCTAACTGGAATGTTGTGTTGATGAATAAACTACCTGGCAAAGTAGGCATCGAAAAATAGGACACAATAGAAACTGGTCGTCCCCTGTGGCCCATGTAAAAAAAAAAAAAGAAAAAAAGAAAAAGATAATCTACCTAAACAGGAACACGAAGAAATGAGTATCTGTAGAGTTAAACTGTACGTTGTCTGATTTTGTTTTGCAAACTTTGCTGTGGAAACTGCCCTAATGTAAATATAAAAACCTTTTTGTGTTACACTGAAGAAAGCAGGCGGGGTGGTGAGGGCAGAAGGAGCAACAGGTGGGGACGAGCTGCACAATAGATCCACAGCTAAGAAGGGTGGTCCTCGTAAAAGTCTCTAAGTTCAAAGGTGATAGTGACCGAGTGGTTGCCCAGCAAAAAGATCCTGGTCCGGATCATTGTCCACATGCCTGCCTTCATTCCCGCTGCCATGCTGACGTCCTGATGGCACAAGCTGTCCTACAGTGAGGCTTTTTATCCTCAGCGTCGAGTTTTAAGACGTTACAGTCAGTGAGAGGCAAAGGCAGAAGAAAATATGAGAGGTTTCCAGGAAAGCCGATGGTTTCCTGGAAACTTCTCATATTTTCTTCTTGACCTTGACAGACGTTTGTGCAACACAGCGATGTTCATTTGTCTTTGTCAACTCCGCTAGATTCTGAGGCACCTTTTACTTTCAAATACAGTCTTCAGAGATTTTCAGAGCTGATCTAGGATTACCGTCTACTCAGGTCGTTTTTTCTTTTTTTCTTTACATCAGCCATTTCTTTCCGTGCATCCCAAATTTTTCCTCTTATTTCTTTGGGCTGCTGTTCATGAACTAATGACTTCTTAAAAATGACCAACACTTTGGAAATAACTGCAGTGAACCATGTAGATTAAATGTTCTTAAATCATACAGCTATATTACATTTCCAGTTAAGGCGTTTATCCTACATCCAAGCCATGGAAATGACTTAATCATACACATAAAATAATAATTCCTTGACATGCCAAACATTGAACAGTTTGACAGGCATGAAATACTGACTTTGAATCAACACAGTGTTTCCAAGGGGCTATCAGCCAAGATCTTGGAGTAGCGGAGGATTTATAATATCTTAATGTGGCTTTTGAAATAACTTCAAATCATGGGGGAAAAAAGACAACCAATCAGATATAAGGGACCATTGTTTTTACTGTATGACTTTTGTGAGCCACAAACACTTGAGATATATTAACAGTTGATACAGTGCAGGTGACAGCAGAACAATAACACCGGGTTTTATAGGGCAATTATTGAATTCAAGAGTTTGACCCTGTGAATTAACCCTGCCAATGAGCTGCTGTAAAGTCAACGTGTAATTCTTAAGACACCAACAGAGAGCCTAATAAGAAAAAGATTTACAGAAATTTGATTCAGATTCGACTTCATCCCTGGATAACAGCTAAGTGAGAACAGATTGCCTCGCTGCTTTTCTTCTAAGACAGTTTTATGCACTTGCCTTAGCAGGATCCACATCTTAAAGCCATCAAATTCTCCACAGGGGTTTCGGAGCGCACACTCTCTACGTCACTCTTACCAGATTATGTGTGTGTTTTTGACCCAGTGTTGGATTTAAGAAGACGGCCATGAGTCACAAGTTTAATCAGTTTGGGTGGGGTGCGGGTGTTCTCATTCTGGGATGCTGTTGTGAACACAAATATTTTTGGTGTGTCCTCCTAAAACAGCCGAGCCTCCGGCGGACGCAGCAAATCTGCTTTTGTGTTCAGTCCCTCACTTTGTCACCTTCAAGCCTTTTCCCTCCTACTTTCCCTTTGTGCCCCGGTCCCTCACACACATGTTTTAGTCAGACAAAGGGAGAAAACTGGCTGCTGATTTCTTTTAAAGGCAGAAGAAATGTGTGTGTGTGTGTGTGTGTGTTTTAAAGTAATGGTTATAGCGTCTACATTCCAGCACAGCAGGGAGGTTCCCAAGCAGGTATTTTTCAGACTCTTCCAGTGTTTTTATCTGTGGCTACTTGTTGATAATGTAGAAGAGGGTGTGTATATGTTTGTGTGTGTGTGTGTGAACAACTTACGCTAAAGCCATGATGCTCAGTGGTCGACCTGCCAGTGATTCAAGGCACTTCAGTGTCTTCATATCATCAGCTGAGAGACCCATCCCGCTGTCTGATTGGCCGCCCTGATAAAGACGATGACGTAAGAGAAATCAATGCACCACATGTCATTTGGTGCTTTTTATTTGAACAAAGAAGTGCTTTAGTCTAATCAGCCAGTTATCGTGACACAGAGTGAGTCAATGGTACAATATACCAGGATTCAATTGAAATTAAAAGTCTTATTGAAAATCCCTGGAACGACATCAAACTGAAGATAAAGAACAACATAAAAACATTGGTGTGAAACCACGTCAGTGTCAACACAGCTGTTATCAGCGAGACGTCCACTGGTTTAATGTGTCACAGACCTGACTGGTTTGACTGTTGAGGCTGATTAAGTCACTGTCTCCCAGGTTCAGAAATATTTTCACCACGGTTTAAATCTAGTTTTTTTTTACATGGTGTTGAAACTTGTTGTAAGAACTAGTAGAAAAAAGACCCAGTAGGTTTCAGTCATGGGACTTAAATTCTGCGTGCTGAAAAACCACTTCCTTCCAGTGTTAGGAGTCTATTTCTTCACTGGTTTCTTGGTTTGTTAATAGCGGTTTTTCTGGGTAGGCTGAATAACTCACCCCTTGTCCATCATGTCCCTCGACCTCCATTGTCACCTCATCAAACGTTTTCACACTAGCTGGACGAACCTTAATGTTCCTGGTGGAAAGAAAATCTGGCGTTAGACTTCTTTGATATTTTAGGAATTATTCTGTTTGGAAATTCTTGGAGTACAACGAAGCCAAAAGTTCAGTAGCAAAACCACAGGAACTTAATCACTTAGATCAACAGCGTGAAGTCTCCACGACATTTTACTTTGAAAACACAGCCTGTTTACTTTGAGTTTCAACACTGGTAGGAGCAAAATCCAAGAACTTAATTTGGCTTAAGAGGCAACTGCCATTAATGCTTTTCAACACCTCCTCCACACACACACACACACACACACACACACACACACACCGAGGACCTGTGAAAACCCTGAGCTTCAACAAATATTTTCTTAACTAGACATAAATCATGCAGTTGGCTGTATGTTGTTTCATGGGAAATTCCTTACAGGAGCCGTTATACTGGAAGGACGTCAGCTACCCCGTGTATATTTCTTATCGTGTGCCAGTCAGCTCGGTGCCACTTTGTTCTAAGGTTGGACCTGATTTTCAGTGCATTGAGCTCAGTCTGGGTGCTGAGGGAACAATAATTGCTGTGGATATTGCTCAGTGTCAAGACGGAAGAAAATTCTGGCATTTCCTTGTGAAAACAGAGCCAGCGTCGCTCAACCTTGAATACTTTGAGGTAAAGTTTACACTACTTTAAGATAAAGTGACTGATGTTGAGCTGGACACGGCTGCACGGGAAAGCAGAGCAAACAAACACAGAGGGTGTCCATGTAGCCACATCAGCCACGACGTGCCACAAATTGACACAAAAATACTTTCTGCGGCTGCTTTGAAGAGCATTCACTTCAGAAATGATCCAGTGACAGGATCATTCAAACTGATCTGAGATCCTTTTTTATTAAGGAGGACATTACATTGTTCTGTTAGTTTTTTCTTCCCCTCTGGTGACACCGAACCGTCACTGGAGAGCAGGGCATCAGGGCTGATCTAATCTTTATTGAAATTTCAGGTGAAGGTAACATAAGCGTTTGAACAAAATGTTCTCACCAGCTGCTCCCTGAGTCACAGTGGGAGGCTGGTCGCGTGGACGTCTCCTCTGACGGTGCTGTGGTGGACGGGTCCCCCACCTGAGCCAGCAGGGCTGTGTTGACAGGTATGTAATGTTTTCCCTCCTGTGAGCGCAGAACACAGACAACAAGACAAAGACTCGAGTTACATGATGCAAACTACAGACGGACAAGGGGCTTCTCTCTCTCTCTCTCTCTCTCTCTCTGGACCATTTCTGTACAAATGTAAATAATCTCGCCGTTGATCACAGGAGACATGCCAATCTGATACTGCATATTCAAGTTAATATATTTTGCAAATGGACGAGTTACTTGGATGTAGTCCATCTGTAGGAGACATATAAGCTGCTCTCCTCACAGATGAGACAACACTGTGTGTGTCATGATATCTAAACATGACCTGCTCTTTCTAAGGCTCTGGCCAACTTTCCATCGTCACCTTCAGTTAATGGTAAAGATTTATTTTTGTTTAATTCAGTGTAATCGTGTGTTTTTTTTCCTGTAGGTATTTTTAATCTCAGAAAAGATAACTATATAATAATAAAATAAAATGATGATTTCATTGGTTCATTTGTCAAAAGAAATAATAACCAGAGTAGGAGTGAAGAACGTACAGGGCCTGTTGAGCTAATGGGAGTGCATACACTCAGTTACTATTTGAGCAGCTCTCTGATTGGTCGAACCATCACATCATGCTACACATGCTACAAGTGTTGGACACAGTGGTACTGTCACAAACATAACATCTCAACGCATCATAGCAGGTCTCACTACTGTTTTGGAAACTCTCCCTCCATCGTCTCCATCTCTATCCTGACTTCACCCTCCTATTCAACTATTTTTTTCTATTTTTAAATAAAAACAGACAGCAGTCACTGACAATGTTCACCAGAGTTGTTTTGTTGTTTGAAGTCAACAAAACCCTAAACAATGTCAGCATGTGTGCTTGGAGCCGAGCTGTGTCACAGACAGACAACATGCAGCAACACAACGTGACGTCAACCTGCCGGACTGACTTTTATTAGTACTCTGACGTTTTGGCTCACATTCAAACTATGACATATTGTATGTTCGTCTGTTTGACATTTTATTGTTATTAAAAAAACCCTGTTTATTTGAACAAAGTCTGTCTGGAGGATTGAATGTGAAAATGTTCTGGTTTATGTGTTGGTGTTTCCCTGCAGTTGAACTTGTTATCAGAGAAACTAAACACTGTGGTTTTCTTCTCGTGTACATTTCTTAGCCTGACAACAAATAGCCCTGTCTTCTGACAGCCCTTTTAAAACACACAAATTTCCCACATCTTGTGACATAATTCATAGCAGACAGTGTTCTTGTACAGTGAGCTGATGGTGACATTGTTCTACTGTTTGTATGTTTTGAAGTTTGGTTCCTCTCCTGAGGCACAGCCTTTTCACTGGCCAATTGTTTGTGTTGGGTGTTGCTACTAGCAACTTTACTCCTGGTTATTTACAATATTACACAACTAACCATTAATTGCAGCTTTATAGACAGGACTTCAATGAGATTTTAGCTTTTTTTTTTAAAATGTTGTTTGGTTTCACATCTTTGCTGAGCAGCTGCTTATAATAATCTCTTCATTCATTGTTACCTGCTGCACACTGGCCTGAAGCAGGTCTCCCAGTTGTTCCACCAGCTCAGTAAATGTTGGTCGCTCCTTTGGCTCTCCTTGCCAGCAGTCTAACATGGTCTGGTATCTGTGGAAACAGCAGTCATTTATATCATGTGTTGATTATGTTTAGTGAGGTCATCTTACGGTGGGATACGCTCCATTTATATTTATAATTAACCAAATGGATTCAGTTTTTCTACTGTGGTCTAATTTATAAATACAATGACTACACTATGTCTGAAACTCCATGTTATTATACCTGAACTCTCAGTGGTCTTCACACCAAGGACCAGTTAGAACACACCGCCTCCCAGATGAGCTGTCAGCATCACAGCCCATATGGGAAGACTCACAGCGTATATGTGACTGTTCACTGCAGCGGTCAGACTCATTTAGTGGGTTTAAATCAGAAATACAGAAAGCACCGATGCTGTTGTTTAGGTTACACTGGCAGAAGGCCACTGATTAGGATCAAGTGTTAATGGATCCCTGTCCTGTCTTGGTTTCAGTATCAACCGTGCACCATGTGTATGACCCAGTTTTGTACGCGTGAAACTGTTTAATCGCGTATTTTTTGAATATCATATTCAGCATTTCCTATCATTAAAGCAGATGGTCTGCTGCAGCTGGACCCTCCCCCTTTCTCCCCCTTCTTTCCTCTCCATCTGTGTTTGTGTGCGCGGCATCCCGACCTCTCACTCATGTTAGCCTGGTCCAAAGAAGTAGAGCGATTCTCATGTTAATGAGCGTACTGTAGAGTAGAGTGCTCCAGGTGCTAGCTGTCCTTACACTGACAGGATGTAGAGACTGTGATCACAGCCTCTATGTGTTTAATTCAACTCCGGGGGAAGTCCACGCACTGTATGAGTATTCAGTTGAAACCACACTTCCTGCATCTCTAATGAGAATAAATAGTCTGCCGCGTGCGTCTGGAGGGAGCGCAGTGTTGTTCAGAGAGTCTGTAAATCTGAACCACTCTGTCCGGTTGAGCATCCTCTGTATTGTCCTCCTACTCTCTTCAGCAGCATCTGCTGCATTCCTTTACAATGCATCAGGATGTTTTTCTAACACAACAATTCTGATGAATCAGTGCAGAAGAGGCATCAGTTTATTTGCTCACCTCCTCTACCGTGACATCATGTGATTAATTATCATTCATTTACGGTATGTTTGGGGGTGGAGCCGTTAGCACATGCATGTGAAGCACTTCCCCCCACAGGCTCAGTGGATTTCACAGCACTGTCTCAGAGAACGGCTGTGAATCCTAAACACAACGAATGGAGACGATTTTATCTCGACTTTAAATTAGAGACACAACTCTGTCTCTAGAATGAAAAATAAAGACCATCTCAGATGTATATTTTCATAACAGACTGATTTCCCCGAGACGGCAAGAACAAAATATTCTTGGCACCGGAAAGGCCGGCATCTATGGATTCAATACAACGCCTGAAAGCTAAAGTCTGGATTGGATTTTGTGCATCATGTCTGATCAACATCTCTGTCGCAAAACTGATAAATTCATCCGCTCAGCTTTACTTGGCACAAGTCGTGCAAAGACTTCCCGAGACTTTGTGTTGCCAAAATGCTATTAAGAAAAGGGGACGGTGTTAGGCTTTCAACACAAATAAGACTTGTATAGTTTGACTTTGCGAGTCGTGTTAAATTAAAAGCAGACAGAACACGTGCACTCTATACATTAGGGCGAGACACAGACAGAGATTGGTCGGTCTGTGTTCTCATTACAGGAACCTCTGTCTTGCTGCCACAGTAACTGACAGCACTGATAGGAAAGGAGAAAAGTCCGTGTTCTCCCACACATATTGTCTTGCACGTTCCAAAAGTTTCACATCACAAACCTCTGCCCTGTGTCTGCACTCACTGCTGAAGCTCAGACTTGTGGCTAAGTCAGTGTCAGTCAGAAAATGCTTTTAGCTCGCAGCTGCCAAAAAAACGTGTAGCTCAAAATTCCGCAAAATTATGGTACAGTTACCAGTGATTCCTTTAAGGAACCTCGACTGCTTGAAACGACACAAAAACATACCTGTTCTCAGCTGTATATGAATACTTTTTTGGCTTTACTGTTTTAGTTAAAAAAAAAAGCTGTGGATGATGAGATGATAAACAAGACTTATGTTCTCCAAGAATGTACAATCTTTAATGACAGAAAACGACCGCAGTTTCTGAATCCTGAAAACCCGTCTTAATGTTATGTGTGATCCAACCATCTGGCTGCCCTCGAACTAAATGTGGTTTCTGTGGTACAGATATGTGATTGTTTATCCTTCCACAGAGACAGAAGGCATTGCATTACGCTGATCTGTAAAGTAATATAATACCGGATACACGCTAATGTGTTTTGCGGTCTTCTGAGAACAGTTCAGGTTGTACCGTCCTAAACCAGCGACTGGGATTAAATCAAATGCAGTCCTGGTCCTTTAAGCATTTCAAGATCAATCAATTAATCACTCTAGAACGGCTTAGATCTCCCCTTGCCATTTACAACCACCTCCCAGTGCCCCCTGAAAAAAAAAAGAAAAATATACTCACATTTCAGACGACGCATAATCTGGTGCTCTCATCCTGCTCCCATCTTTCAGTCTGCAGCAAAACTCTTCATCAATTTGAACACCAGGATACGGAGAGGCACCTGGGACAGGAAAAAGAATAGAGGTTCAAAGAGTTGTCACTGACATCATTTATCATCACCACCTGGCCTGTAGCTACGGTGATGTTCTGTTAAATGCAGTATATTTGCTCCAAAGAATCTGATGTTATTAAACTGCTTCTAGCCAGTATAGAACAGAGTTCTGACACACGTCACAAGGATTTTCCAGGAAACTGTGAATTCCACATTCAGGATGATAACTTTGCTGTGACACAAACTAACATTTTAAAGAAAGAAATGAGACAAGCCAGGTTTGATAAATGAAGCATTCATACTAATGTTATGAAGATCGTAAATCAAATCACAGTCGACTGTATCCAAATCATCCAACGCCAATACAGTTTAAAAAAGAAACATAATCAATACCCATAAATGTTATTGGATGATGTAAGTCTTGCTCCACTCGTGACATTCACTAATGTGTGATGTTGTATTTGGATGGCTGCACTGAGAATCTGTATGACCTGTCAATCATGATTCACTGCTAATTTTGTTTACATTTGAATTGTCATGTTAGTCATAAAAGTTCAATTCGGAGCCAAAACCAACTTCACGGACATTGTGAAAACACAGTCGCACACAGAACAACCCTGGATCCAGTGTTCACTTTTGTTAGTTTTGGAAAAATAAATCCCAATTCTGTGTAGTTAAATAACGATTCTCAGCCTTTTAAAAGGCTGTGTGCTTCCCTCACACAATGTCAAACCGTAGGATTTCTAAGAAAACCACAGATTAAATTTAGCATATTGTTAGTTTAGCATAAAAGAATCTCAGGAGATAAACCAAACACTGTGACCCAGATCAGTAAATTAATAAACAGCTTTCTTTGGCTGTTTGGTTAACTTTAAGTTTATTTTAGCTCACCCGTTTTAGCTTATTTTTATTTGTTTAGCTTTTCTAGCTAATGTAACCAGTATTCTTTCGGACTATTTGGACTTATTTTCAGTATTTTTGGGAAAGAAAAATAGCTAGATCAGAGAAGTCAGATTCCTTTTTTTTTTTTGCAACAAAAGCTGTTCTGACATGATTTGAGATTTAAAAACATTCCAAAGCTGACACACTTGTTGATAACACAGCAAACTGAAAAACACCCTTTGGTCAGCTTTAAACCTTTGACCTTTAAAGAGGATTGAATTTCAATGCCGACTTCAGGCATGAGTCTTGGTCACTTGTATCTTTGTCTCCTGATTTGTTTTTCAGACGCCTGATCCAACAGTGCCAGATGTGTATGTGTTTCTTTAGCAAAAAAAAAAAAAGTAAAATGTGGTGAGAGTTTGACAAGAGTGAAGAAGAGAGGAGGAAAATCCACCATGATGATGTCTGTGTACTTTACAGTATGCAATTTGACACACTCTCTGTCAAATGCACAAGTTGACAACACCATATGGCCGTGGTTCAAAATGTACAGTGTAGCAATTCTTCCAACGTTGCTAGCCCCTGTGGTGACATTCAAACATACATTATTTCATGGCGAGAGAGTTAAAAGTGTGTGTCGAGCGATGAACAGGCAATCATGGAGCCAAACACAACATGGTTTTAAAGGCGGCAGTGGTTTCTCAGTGGGGACTTTCACACTGATCTGGCTGCTTGGTTACAGAGCGTTTGTTGTGTTGCCAGCTGAGAAACAAACGTGGAGCCTGCACAGGAGTTCATGTCCCGCAACGGTGCTAAAGAATACAGTCATATCGCATTATGAGTTGCATTAAAATTGCTTTCTCACTCTGACTATGACCCTTTGATGCAGAGGCATAATTTTTCTTGTAAAGTATTTTATAAAAATGGGTATAGCACACATTTTATTTTCTGTATAGTTATTACCCTCAGCTCCTTGTTTCAGCCTGCTTATTTTTCTTCTGCAGGGTGAATATTTTGTATCATTAACAGCCGGCATATCTGTGTGAACCCGCAAATGGATACTTGGGGATCCAGGTACTCACCCAGAGAGAAGATCTCCCACATGAGAACACCGAAGGACCAGACGTCACTCTGAGTCGTGTAGATCTTATCAAAAATGGCCTCAGGTGCCATCCACTTCAGCGGAAGTCTTGCCTGTGCACAGGCAACAAGGAGATCAGTCATTAACTGACCAAAGTAAAGGTCTTTAATATCTTAGAACTCTATTAATCCCTGAGGTTGTCAGAATTTGAAGTTTAGACAAAAAAGATTCCTACTCATGGTAATGTGAAATCATTTTTATTTCTGTGCCTTATTTTACATAGGATTTTCATATTTTGCAATCTTAAAAATCCCGTGATAATATTTTCGGAAGAAACAACTACTATATTTGACTTACATCTCCTTTGCGGACATAATCTGGGTCTTTGTAGATGTCTCTGGCCAGTCCAAAATCACAAATCTTCACAACGTTGTTTTCTGAAAGCAGTATGTTTCGTGCTGCCAGGTCACGATGGATGCACTGTTAGGAGAAAACAGAGAAGAAATAACATTATTTTTGTGTGTTTACATACTTAATAATGTGTGTGTTTGTGTGTGTGTGTATGCACTCATGCGGATCAGCTTGGAGGAGCAACACATGGTCAAAGCATCAGTGATATTACAATAGAAAATCATTTGCTCCATTTCCAGGCCAAGGAATTACTTCTAAAAGGTTAATAAAACAATGGCTTCCTTCTCCAATCAGTTCCATCCGGTCTCACTGAAATTATGAATGACCTGACTATGAATACATTTTCATTTAAAAGAAAAAAAACCCACTGGATTTAGGGAAGAAAAGTACAAAAAGCAAATTGAAGTCTGAGTAATTTTTCACATGAGAAGCTTATCTTCTTATCTGAAGAAAATACAAAAAACCTGTCAATTCACCGTGTGTTTGTTCAAAATGCTGAAGAGTTCAGAATGAACTGTGTTTAAAGAGGGTGTGGTTTTTACATGGAGTGAAACTGGGATTACAATGACAGATCAGCCTGATCTGAAACTATCTATACAATATGCTACAACAGGTTTTCTTCATAAAAGAATGTATGTGAAGAAGCGTATACCTTGCGTGAAGCCAAGAACTCCATGCCTTTTGCAACTTGGAAGCTGTAACAAATCAAATCCTCCAGAGTCAGGACTCTTTTGTATAAATCCTCAGATTCTACAGAAACAGAGAACCAAACATAAAACATTCTTAGTGCAACATAAATACATTTAAGTAGGAATTTTGAGTAACAATCTTTTGTTTTCAAACGCATTGAGTTTTTCACTGTCGAGAGACAAGAAGAAAACAACAGAACAAGTGGTCGAGAGACAAGAAGAAAACAAAGACAAGAAGAAAACAACAGAACAAGTGTCAAATCCCATAATGCAACACGTCCAGATTACAATTCATCCTGTCACGTAGGCGTCTCTCCTAACACCCTGTTTATAAAACATCCTTTACGGATGAGAGCCAAATTAAAACTCATCCTACTTTTTTTTTCAGATATCAGGTGATGTGTGAGGTTTATGGGCCTGGTTGGGGGTCCGAGGGAGTCCTTCCACAGGCCCACCTGAGTAAACAGCTAATCAAACCAGAAATAACACAACATGGCCGACATGCCGGTGCTGAGCTGGAGTCTGAGAACAGATCAACGCTCAGGTCAGCACAGGAAATAAACAGACGCCTCCCCCGGCTCAGTGGGGTGACAGTGGCTCCTTCTGTAGTCATTGTACTGCTGAACAGGAGGAGGAAATGTCCCATCAGAGACAGGCCGAAAACAATCTGAGGGGAGCTTTCATTCCTGTGCAGGAGGGGTGGAGCAAAGGTGAGAGGAGGGAGATGGAAAAGGGAGACAAACAGGGGTGAGGGGC